CGTAGACGCTGTTGACACTCGGGTCGGCGTGAAAGCTCATGAAGAGCCCAGGTGATTGAGCAAGCTGTCGTGTCGTGTCCGAGGACCAAGAGGTTCAGGATATACTCGACTATGGAATTGTCGTCCCAAGAGGGATCGGAATAGTCGAGAAGACACTGTAGGGCATCAGGCTCTTGCGTCTCTTCAACGTGGCCCTTCTCCAATGTTCGGCGTCTGATGGCGATCATGCCAATGATGAACTCTCGAGCCCGGGTACAAGACTGAACAAGCTCTCGACATTCCTCGATGGGAAGGAATTGCCGGATCGGGGCCAGTGAGTTGAGATAGTTGACAATGTGGCCAATCAGAGACGGTTGCATCATGTTGGTGAATGCCTTGAACAAAGGGGATTGGTCGCCCTCGAGGTGGTTGAGGTCAAGGCCAAAGGTTTCGAGGCCAATGACATCGAGGACCGCCTTCCAGATGTTTGTCTCAACTTGAACGTTCCCAACACTGTTTCGCTGTTCAGAGAGAACTTGGGCAAGCTGCTCGGCCTTGTTCCGAACAATGGGGAAGAAGGCTTTGAGGCGTGGAGTTGACAATGGGCGACTAATGGCCGCACGACGCTGACGATGAAGCTTCCCTTCAATAAAAGGAAGTCCATCTCCGACAATCTCATGAACGAACTTTCTTGCAAAGTCCGGCTTGACGAACATGCCACTCTTTGTCTGAAGAATCTCCTTGTACGCCTCAATGGTGTTCGCAAAGAGTGTTTCCGAGTTGGCAAGGTTCAGGTAGCGAATAAAAGGGGCCTCAGGGTACGCGCGAGACCACTCGCAAAAGAGCTCCGGGAACCAGGCGACCTGGAGAAACTTTGTCGTCTGGCCAAGAAAAAAGGTATTGTCGGTTGGTCCTGGGAGACGGCGGAGGGGGGAGACGTAGAAGGGGTACACAAAGATGTTGAAGGCGGCGAATCCCAACATGACGAGGCCCAGGAGAGCCGTGGTCATGATGAGAGTCCACTGCGCTTCCGGCGAGAGCAGAAAGCTCAGCATCGTCAAGAGACGAGACCGCGTGTGATGCTGATACTCCCCGATCCAAAAACAACAAGATAGGGAGGGTGAGGGTGATGAAGTGTGCGACTCCCTTTGCCAATCAGAGTAGGAATCCAAAAAAGACCAAGAAAGAGGCGTGATGATGTGTGCAGTCAAGTCGAGGAATCGTAGAAATGCTTCGTGTTTTTTTATAACTGAGGGTCCTACGGGCTGCCAGTGCACGCTGCGGCTCTGGCAGCTGGCGTTCACCCTCACAGCAGTGTGAACGGACCGAAAAGCTCATGATCATAAGGATTCACGTGTAAAAACAGATCAGATTCAGTGGGGAACACGTCATGGGCAGTGTGCTATGGATAGGAACTTGGTGTTGCTCTGTTCCCAAGTCGGGTCTCATGGTATTAGATCTCTCGGCAAGGATTTCCTTGCAGGAGAAGGATCCGTATAGAACAGAGCCACGTTTAACCAACACTCTATCAGCTTGGATGTCATTACTATTTGTACCTGTATTGTTCGCTGTCAAGGTTGAAACATGCCAGTTGTGGTAGACGTTCTGGCTTGAAAACCATACACAAAGACAAGCACTAATCTCGAACACTACCCCATATACTTGGTCCAGAAATAGAGTCATGGAGGATCAAGGACTCCCCTTCCTGGATCCCGATTGGGCCAAGCATATGGGGAGATATAATAAGTACAGCATCAATAACCCAGCCATCAGGATCGGGTCCTTCTTGTATCACAACATACCCGTCGAGTCCCTCCCAATGGGACACTTCACCTTTGCCCCCATCTCGTATCCTGACACCTCTTCGCGCTCATTCTCCGAATCTGCACAAAGACGTGTATCTGGAACCTTGCAACAGGTCGGCATAAAAACTGCACGTCACCCTTCCATTCGCTTCAAGGATCATTCGTCTATCTTGTGGCTCTGTGGATCCTTCTATGTTTCGAAAGAAGCGGCTACTATACGTGGGATGTGCCACATGGTGACAGCGAATGCGATTGTTTTATGCCATCTCGCAGGATACAACGTCATATAAGACCACTTCGAGTTACGGGGCTATATTCGAGCAAAGAAACTGGCTGCCTCAATTTCATTATTTGTGACATGTCTGAAAAGTAGAAGAAATATCTTTCGATAAAAGAAGCTCTTATCAATATCATCATACAATAATCGTTCCAGCTTTAATAGTGTAGTGTAGTATAGGTAATCTAGCATCCAGCTCTTTCTATAAGAGACCTGCCGTAGCTTCTCTCCTGGGTATCATCTTCCTTCATCCTTCAACACCAAAAAAATATCACTTTCTCTCCTGACGCAGCCACTCGATCATCTTGTCTACAGCCTGCTGCGCCTCCCAGATGGGGAGCAGCGGCCACACATGCACCATGCCCTCGCCGACCACCAACTCCACCTCGGTGCCCTGCTCCCTCGCTTTGTTAACCATCAACTTGGTGTCGGGCGTTAGGAGGTCCTGGTCAGCCGCAAAAACCAACATGGGCGGGAGAGCCAGGTCGCCGTAGATGGGGCTGACACATGGGTGCTTGGTGTCCATCTCGGGGCAGATGAGCTGCGTAATCTCGGCGATGCCCTCTACGCCGAGCCATGGGTCTTTGACCGACGCTGCGTGCATGTCCGGGTTAAGGAGTGTTGAGTCCGTGCAGGGCGTGATAGGTACGAGAAGCTTGGCTGTTGGGTTTCCAGCCAGACGAGCTCTCTGTGTGAGGACCAAAGTCATGGTTCCTCCAGCAGAGTCGCCAACCATCCAGAAAGGTGTTGGATCATCAGCCCCAGCGAGCTCATCATGAAGAGGCTGTACAAGCTCATACATCTTCATGAGTCTAGTCTCAGGGCCCAAGGGGTAGATGGGCACGGTGACAACAGCATTCAGCCGACGCGCCAGCTGAGCAACAAGTTCCCAATGCTGCGGGGTGATATCAAAGACGAAACCACCGCCATGGAGGTAGAGGATGCGAGCGGCCTTGGGAGTATCCGACTTGTGAGTCAGGGTATAAACAACATATCCCGAGCGCTCTGCTTCCTCAATAGAGAAGTCATTGTAGAGCTTCTTGGGCGGCTGAAAGCTGGGGTTCAAGCGATCCTTGGCGATGCGGTTGTTGATGCCCGCTGCGGAACTCCAGGTTGGCTTGAATTGCCACCAGATGTAGTAGCTGACAAGCCGGGCCTTGAGGGAGGGCATGATTTGAGACGAGTATCAGTGGTGAGTTTGTTTGGTGAGTTGAACGAAACACTTGTTCTTGATGGCTGATGGAGGTTTTTTAGCTGCACGCCAAGGAGATGTTGGCGTGGCTTGTCTCATGTGAACGCTCACCGACATGGGCAAAAGCTACGATTCTACGGTCTCACATTGAAAAGAATTGAGTTGAGAAGTAAGAGAATAAACTTTGAAGATACGACAAGATATACATCTATGTTATTGTCTTGGAGTTTCGCTAAAATACTGACTGCCATTGCTAGGTGTCGGAGATCCAGGGTAGTCCCCCAGGCAACATCACAGCAATACAACCTGATAATCATGGCCAGCAACCAGGGAACAGGGATACACAAACAGTAACAATTTTATCGGGCTGTAAAGAAAATCCGATCGATTGCCGACGCAGCCAGTCATAAACACCAATTAACGATCGACGATCGAGCGGGGGAGGAGAGAAGAGGGCGTGACAGGACAGTCGAGAAATCAGATCATGTTCAAGGCGGTTGGGTCTTGTTGGTTGTGATACGGCCTTGTCTTTCTCCACACAGCCCGTCACAAGGCGACGAGCCTTGAGCCGAGTTTATCAAGCCCCCGGAGGACCGGCGTCTTGGCTTCCCTTCTACCCCCGCAGCGCCGTTGCTTGTTGCTGCTTTTGCGGTGGTCCGGAAGCTAGAGAGGTCTCTATGTCTTGCATGAGGTTTAAAGACACTGATGTTAAGGCTATCAATAACTGGAGGATAGGTATCGGCTGAGCTCAAGCCTTCATCAGATGCGACATGTCAGGAACCAAAGCGTGGGATGCAAGCGAGGCATGTCGAGCCGGCCGTGATGCAGGTTGCGTTGCTGATTCGAACTGGAAGGGATCTTCGATGACAAGAGTCCAGGCTGCCCTCCTACTTGGGATGTGCATGCGGGGTGTCTAGGCATCATGGAGGACTTGAGAGGTCTCATCTTTCTTGATGAAAGAGGTTGAAGTTATGACAAGGCAGTGGATGATGGAGGCGATTGTCTTGCAAGTTGTCAAGCATGTTTTCTTCAACTCGAAACTTGAAGATCAACCGAGGCATCAAGTTTGCTGATTAGCCTCCATCACTAACCATTAGCTCAACCACTCTCAACTCACTCTCGCTAGCCTCGACTCGCATACCTTGACCCTCACCTCCAGACAATCTCGACCGTACATGTCCATCCAATGACGGCAAACCCTCACCCACAACGTTTTCTCTTCAGAACTTGCAAGCCTAGCCGAGTCTTTCTGTCTTTTCTGTTGCAGACACACACACTCTCTAAAAGCGGCGTCCAGGTTCGAAGCCTCTCAGCCTATGGCAACCCTGCCATTTGCATTACCACTCCCGGATCCGGGTTTTACCGACAGCGCAACAATCCCGGGCGCACACACTTGAGAGTCTGCACACTGCCCCCCCGGGTTGTAGAAATCCCTTCGACGTCAGTGACCGACCACGAGCCAAGAGGGTCCACGACCATTAATATCAACTCCACCACCCTTCAAACTTTCCCTCCCCCCCTCTGTCTAATCTGTTATACCCCGCCGACAATCGCTTCACCGACGTCAAGATACGAATCTCCCATACAAGAAGGAAATCCTGTTTTGGGTTTATCATTTGAGGGGGGACTTGAATCTCCCTCTCTTGCCCATCAGCGTCATCGCCATTTGCCGAGGATCGCACAGTCACTCCCGTGCATCACCGACTTCGAACTTCCGACTCATCTACTCTTCTACAACTCCTCGACGATGCCTTCACAACGCCCCTACTTCCTCTCCTCCTTCCTCGCCGCCTTCCGTCCTCAAGGCCCCTCCATCTCTACATCCTCCCATCAACCAAACAAGCACACCCGCGACGCAACAACCACCACCACAGCCGCAGCAGCAGCAGCCGCAGCATCTTCAGCAACCACATCGACATCCGCCGCCGCTTCGTCTTCACATCACCACCACCATCATCATCACCACCAAACAACCTCATCAAGCGTCGCCCTCCGCTCCCCCGCCTCCGGCCCGACGACAGCCGCCACATCCCCCGGCAACGGCGCCGCGATACCCATCCCCGGCTCATCGGGCCGTCGCGGTAGCGATAGCAGCAGCGAAGGCTTCCGAGACGTGATAGGCGCCGACAAGTTCTACATCGGCGGTCGCACACCCGGAGGCGAGGAGAAGTTCTTCAAGCTCGGCGTTATTCGGCGCGTGCGGAGCAACGACGGCTTAAGCCTCGATCGCTTGAGTTTATAAGGATGACCGCATAACGGAACGTCGATGTCTTTGCGGCTGCTTGTGAACGATTTTCGGGATTGGTATTAGCCACTATTACATGGAGGAGCCCTCACGGTACATAGAGCATCCGGGTTGCTCCACGGGGAAGATTAAATCACCGAATGACGATGGGACGAATTGGTTTTTGGAGATGACTATTGTTTTGGCGTCATGGCTACGGCGTTGGGAAGTGTTGAGGGTTTTTACAACGGGGCACAAATGTCTCCCACAAGTATTCGGATGTACGCCCCTAAATGACCAAAAAGTGTCTATTGCAGACTCTGTTGCATGAAAAAGTATGATTCTTTCTCGAAATTACCACATAAAGCGCTGCAGTCGACCCTCGTCGAGCAACGTTCCGTCTTCAGCCTTCCAGAAGTAGGGCTTGCAGAGGAAGATGTACCCAGTGACGACATTGATGGCGATGAACCACCCCGTCTCTAGAATGAGACGGATATCGTAGTGCCTGAAGGCCATTACCACAGGCCTCAGCTTTGATAACATCAACATCCCGACCAGGCCGTTGGGTTCATGGTTGTGTAGTCTCCATGCCGGCACCAGTAGCCTCCACATGACCCACGGGATGATAAAGTACCGCGGCTCAACCAGGGGCGCTGTCATGAGAGACAACGTCGTGGCGAGTAAAAAGATGAGGCCCGTGGATGTGCAAGCTGGTTCAACAGAAGCCAAAAGAGGGTCCTCCTCCAAGGCCTGGTTTAGTTCCTGCTCCTCGGTTCGGGCATTACGAGAAGTTTCCTCGATGGCCGCAGGAAAGGGGGCATCAGTCTGCCGAGCCGAGGCTCCACGTCTGATCCAGAAAGGGTTGCTCATGAAAGGCACCTCGTCCGAGACCATGTAGCGAAACGAACAAGTATTTCTGCTGCCAATGAAGAACATGGGCGAACAGCCAGCCATGACATCCCAAGTCATCCAGCGAGCCACTGTGTATGGCACGATCAGAGCATATCGGATCCAGGATGCTCGGCGGATGGTGTATCGAAAGATGTAAAACATGTAGTGACGGTTGTCGGCGAGGGTGAAGGGGTGGATGATGGTGTTGTACCGAACCACGGCGATAGAGAGGAGGATTGTGGCGAGGATGTAGATTGGCCAGAGGATCTCGGAGTTGAAGATGAAGTCTGCGATCTTCAGGGGCACCGAAAGAGCGGGGGGTGTGGTGTCCGGATCTGTGGTGGCTGTAGATCTGGCGGATGTCTTCCTTGCGGAACTACCACTGCTTCGAGATTTACTTCCCTCATCAACTTTTCCTGTTCCAACGACTGGCGTGGCGGTAGAGCTGGGCGACTTCCTTGGGATCACTCGGATCAGGGCGTTGATAAAGGGGAGGGCGCAAGGTATGAGGAGAGGCAGGGAAAAGAATCCAAAGAATGGCCAGATGTAGAGCATCTGCGGTAGATGAATGGTGGCGACGTGGTTGGATTTATCCCCTACTTTCAGTTAGACGTGAGTATCAAGACATTGTGCAAGACTCACCGAGCACAACTCCACCGTTCCAGACGACAAAAGCGCCGAAAGATACAAGGACGGCAATGTACGGCCAGATTTGCCTGATGACGCGGATCGGGTTGCAAAGCGCTGCAACGCCCAAGCTTAGAACGCAAAAGATCATATCTGTGTCTTGGTTAGTAACTTGTTCATATGCATCCAGAGAACTTGACTCACCATCCGGCCAGAGCATATTCAGCGGAGGATCATGGATATCGCCAAGCGAGTACCTCCATAGATAGTACTTGACCTGTTCAGTAAGAGACGACATGAACGGCTGGTCAACTCGCTCTGGTCGCAATGTCTTGAGAGCGTGAACTGCCTCTAGACCTCCCATGTAGACAACCACCCAGAACACATTCGTCTGGCGAAAGAACAAGGTGAAAAGCCCAAGAATGACCGTCAAGAGATCGTTCAGGGGTGAGCTCTGATCTCGTCCAAGGCGTCCGAGGTGGTTAAGGTATGCCACCAGCACAGCAGCTGTCGAAGCCACGTCGGTATAATACAGCCCGGAGAAGAAGAACAAGAGCGGAAAGAGCGCAATGTTAAACGCGGTGTGAAGTGCGTACTGCGAATGAATGCGCAATCGTATCGAAGAGTGCGCTTCGTATAGACGCGACTCAATTTGATGGCGGCATTGTAGAGCCAAGTAGGCGAGGAACATCAGAGCGACGGCATTCGCAGCTCGGAGACTGCCTGCATCGCAAATATACCCCCCAAGAGATCCATTTGGACGCACCACTCCCGGAATCAAGAGGGAAAGAAGGTAACTGGATTTCTGTTAGCATTGTTGAAAAGGGGCATGCAGACGAGACTTACAGCCCTGGAGGCGTTGTGATCTTGTCGTCCCACTCCAGAAATTTGCCCTCACAATACTTTTGCGCCTGGGGAATATGAAAAACCTCATCCTTTCCGGGATCAGTCTTGCGAAATCAACTTGTCACCTATGAGGACTCACCAGATAGGGCTCTGGGACAACGGCCGAAACGATGTAAAGCCATAAGAAACAGAGGGCGGCAAGGACAAATAGTAACAAGCCGGCCAACCAGGTAAAATATCCTCTAGACTTGCTGAGTAGACAAAAGAAGATAGGGAGCACAACTAGGCCGCTTGAAGCCGTCCAGAATGAGAGGCTCTGCGGCTCCATGTTGACAAGTGTCCAACACGACAGCACGCGAAGGAACAGAGAAAGAATTAAAGCAGAAGTAAGGGAAAGGCTATCATGACATGAGAGACGAAGAAAAAAAGAAAGACCACTTCTAGTCGTGCGTCGAGTGGGAAAAATGAGTGGATGTCTTGAAGCCTGGATTGACTTGCGAGATTGAGATTATGGAGTTGTTAATTGAGCAGGAGAGACAGTGTTTGGCGCATCATGAGCTGCACTGTGCCCCGGACGCTTGGTCTCCAATCGGAGTCAAGTCACCAATTGACGTTGCACCAGCACATGGCTTTGGAAGCTGAAAGCATTGTATTGTATCTCATAATTGATAGGTACAATGTATTGAGAACCACTACTTTAGGTCGACGTTCAATTGTTGGACCTGCATTCCTATTCGGGTCATGGCTGCAATGCGAGCAGCCAAGCCAGCGACTCAACAACTGCCAGCCAATCACAGCCCGTACATTTCACAGCAAATCATCAAAATTCAAGGCTCAGAACACGTCTATTGGAATATCTTGTACAACCAGAGCCGCCCACGCAACAGAGACGGGCCACTGAATAATGTCTATCGTCCGCATTCCACCATTTGATTTAGAAGGGCTGCATAGAAGGTTAGCAGGGGAACAGCTCTAACAGCCGAGGTGCGACTCACGTTGTCGGCGGGGTGGATCTCCTTGCGGAAGAAGTCACCGAAGAAGGGGACCTTCTGTCGAGGGGTCAGCGCTGTGATTAGAGCATGTCGTTGTATGTTGCCGTACCTGGAGGATGTCGCGCTGCACACGGGGGATACCGTTGGCGAAGAGGAGGACACCTACGACGGCGGGGGCGCCGTAGAAGGCCAGACGGGTGCCGCTGTGACAATCAGTCAGCATCTTCTCAAGACGCAATCCATCCCTCGAACACGACCGCTCTTCCCATCTTCCAAAGCCCCTTTCAATCATTGAAGCCCAGCACTGGTCGTCTCGGTCGCGAGAGCTGATCCAAGGTTTCGGAGGAACGGAAGGGACAATACTCGGGTTCGCATTCGTGTTCTCGGCGGTCGAATCGTGCTTTAGGATCGAGCAGAATACTCACATTCTGGTGGCAGACTGAACAGTGAAGCCAGCCAGGTTAGGCTGAGACTGGTACCTATTGCCAGAGTGTTAGCCATCGTCGTTGAACGGTCTTGATCGATCTCGAATGCCGCAATTCGCTCGTGACTCGTAGTCGTTCGACAATATATGCATCGTAGATCGGGTAGAGGAGAAAGGCGTACTTGGGACCGTAGGCGCTCTTGAACTCGGCCATGCGGATAGGAGTCTGTTGAGAATCAGGTCAGCCAAACTTGGCCTTGAAATTGAGACGCCGAGGGCCATTGATAGGTAATAATGGCCCTCTGCGGAGAGGTCCAGCATACGTAGGAAACCATCTTGACTCGTGGGGCGGTGGAAGCCTTGTGCGTCGTTCAATTGCTCGTCGATAGGATAATTCGTCGTCGTAAAAAGAATGGCCTTGGTTGCGCGAGTTTGCCGGACGGGAAAGACCGGGTTTGTTTGGCCTCAGGCCTGAACCAAGCTCAATGGCGCTAGGCCAATCACACCACGACTTTCTGACCCACCCAACTTTGGAGCTTCTACAGCCTCGTCTTGGAGGTTCTTGTTCTTCTTCTCTCACATCCAATAATTCTTCTTGACAACTTTTCTGGCAGGGATCTTGGGATGGATACTTTTATCGACCGTCGCTTTGAGCGGCTGGAAAAGGCTCTTGCCAATTTGATCGACTCGGTCACCAAATACCATCCTTCTACGGTGCATGCCCAAGAGCTCGAGGCGGCCGACAATGAACTGAGCAAAGGCTTGGAAGAGGGTAAGTCTCTTTTGACGGCATTCCTCCTGGGCCTGATGCTAACTGTATGCAGTTCAAACGCACCAGAACAATTATCTACGGATTCAGCAACTCCGCGAGTCTTCAGCAGCTCTCGACGCCCAGATCCGCGACACCATCTCGAGTCTCGCAACGACGCGCAAGGACATCGTGACGACGCATGCCACCACCTTCTCAGCCGAACCCAACTACCCCATCGCTTACGAAGAGCTACTCAACTATGCTCGTCGCATTAGCAAGACGACTATGCCCCCTGCGGGGACTATCAACCCCGTGTCACCCTCTCCCCCTGAGGGTCAGACACCCGCAGGCCAGACACCTGGGCCCGACTCTCAAAACGCCTCCGTCATGACGCCCTCGGCGCCCCCTACATCACAGGTCCAGAGCCCCGCCGTGATGAATGGCACGCCACAAGTGTCCCAGGAACCCGCGACACAGCAGACCACCACATCAGCCAACACCAACCTCCCCGAGGGGTGGACCCAGTTCCTGAACCCCCTATCCGGCCAGCTCTTCTTCCCCTGGCCCCAGGAGGACAAGATCCGTGCTGGCTCCCTGGCATCCAACCAAGTTCTCATGGAGCAAGGCATCGAACCCAAGGGCTATGATCCCGTTGAGGAGGAAGCGCGCAAGCAACGCGAGGAAGAGGAGCGGAAGCAGAAGGAGGAGGAGGCTCGCCTGGCCCAAGAAGAACGCGAGAGGAAGATTCGCGAAGACCGCGAACGCCAGCGCATCGAGCGGGAGCGACAGAGGGAGAAGGAACAAGAAGCCTGGAGACGAGCCAGTCTTGTTGGAGGGCCATCTGGTGCTCCTGGCGAGACCAAGAGCACGGCTGGACCTCCCCAGCAAAAGGCACAGTTCCAGTTCACCAACCTGGATGATTTGGATGACGACGACGACGACGATTGAACCAGAATCAAACCATAAAATTTTGATCTCTATAGAAGCTGAAAACAATAAGAGATGCCTTCCCTCACCCATAACCAACGTATTTGAATTGTACCGGGCCCGTTCCCGATCTCTTTTGCCCGTCTAAAAATGAAACAAATCTACTCCGCCGACACAACAACCTGATATCGCTACACATGCCCTGCTGCCATCGTTTCTCCGGCTGACCCTTGATCGCGATCGAAGGAGTGACGCGAGGTGAAATCGCAAATTCAGACGCTGGTCGTACATGTATTGTTACAAACGCCACACTCGTCTCCCTGTCATAAAGATATCCATCGTTCAAGACCCGTTTTCAGGGCCTCTGCTGAACCTCCACTGATACGACAGCTTAGTCGATCTTGATGGAGGAGTAAATCTTGCGGACAAACCACCAGCTTGCAAAGTAGCCAATGGAGCCTGTGTATCAAGTTAGATATGGACAATGGTATTAGGACGGGCAACTCACCAGCAAGGATAAAGAAGAGGAACGAGATGAGGGCACTGTAGCCGATGTAGAGGACAGTACCAGCAAGACCGCCCAGCTTGACCTTGGTGACAAGGTACAGCAGGCAGTTGAGGAAGATGTAACCACCGCTCATGCCAGCAGCGAGGAAAGACCTCCACTGCCAGTTGTAGTTCTCCGAGCAAAGCAGGAAGTAGACCATGAGGATGGTGACGGCGGCGCACACGACAATCATGAGGCCGTAGCAAAGGAACAGGAAACCGAACATGTAGTAGATCCTGCTGAACCAGATGGAGCTGATGATGAAGTACAGCTCGACAAAGATGGCACCAAAGGGAAGGAGACCGACGATGAGCATGCTAGGAATAGGCTTGAGATAGGTGCTCACGGGAGGAATCTGTCGAGGAATCTGGTTGGTGCGCACAGGAGGCTCAAAGCCAGGGGCGCGGAAACCAAGCCAGGAGCCAGCAACCGACAGAGGAATAGAGATGATGAACCAGATGGCGACGAGAACAAGCATGGTGGTGAAAGGAACCGCACCCGATGACTGCTTAGCCCAAAGGAAGAGGTCCAGAAGGAAGAAGCAGGAAAAGACGATTCCAGGAACCAGGAGAGGAGTCAAGGCGATGTTGAGCTTCCAAGCCTCACCCTGCCAGGCCTTGTAAGTTCGGGCTGAGACGTAACCACCAACGAAGCCAAGAACAGTGTAGAGTAGAATCATGATGGTGCCGAGAGATCCACGGTTGGAGGGAGACAGGAATCCAAGGAGGGCGAACAAAATAGTGCAGCCCGTCATGCAGAAGAGTTGAACACCGTTACCCGCGAGGATGGCCAGGAGAAGAGGACGAGGAGGGGGTCGGAAGACATCGCCATGAACCAGCTTCCAGCCAGAATCCTCCTGAACACCATCCTCAACGACCGAGGTGCCACCAAAATCGTCAAGGTCGATCTGATCAAGTCGGTTATAACGCGCAATGTCCTTCTTCAGGGCTCGGACCAGGATCGACATGACAGTCAGGACGAGGATGACGACAATAATAGCAGTGTCGATAAGCCAGAACCAGTGAATCTTGGGGTCAAAGACGTGCAGATACTTGTCCCAACGCGTAGCCCAAGCGGTATCAGACTTGCGCCAGTAAACACTGTAGCTGAAGGCGACCTTTTGATCCTTTCCGTTGAACACAATGGGTTGGTGGTTGCCGCAGTCTGCCTTGCCTCCGTACTCCTTGGAGCTGGGCTCCACGACAACGCCGACAACACGGCGCTGGGTAGCATCGTTGTTCACCTCGTGGTACTCGACCCAGATCTCGTAGTGGTTGTTAAAGAGGATGTTGTCGCTCTCATCGTCCTGACCGAGCAAGAAGCCAGAGCTGTAAAAGGTGGTGCCCGTCAGCTGGTCCTTAATCTGCTGACCAGCAGGGAGGCCGTCGACCAGCCAGTTCAAGCTATAACCCTGCTCGATACGGCTCCTGACAAAGTTGATGGACTTTTCGGGGTATGTCGTCTCGCAAAGGGGCTTGCAGGTCTCGTTCTTGCCCATGATGAGCTCGAAGGGGGAGGTCATGATTCGGTCTCCGAAGAGAATGCTGCCTAGACTCTCCGACACATATTGAGGTCCACCTTCGGGTTGACAAAATTGGAACGCGGGATGGTAGTAGTCGTACGAGACAACAGAGTGTAGTCGAGCATCTTGAGGCGCGGCGACGGGCTTGATGCTGTTGACGTAGAGAGGGACCTTGTCTCCGTCCTTGTACGTGGTCGGGGCGACACCGGGGAGGTAGAAGGCCGAGGCCAGCTGGGGAACCGCTAGAAGCGAGGTAAGAAGCGCTGTTGAAGGCGCAAAGTCTCTGAAATGCATCTTGAAGGTTTGGTCATGCGCAGACAGGCGTAAATCTAATGGAACGAGCGTTGCGAAAGATGGATGCTAGATGTCGAGTCCAGGTTGGAGCTGACGACAATGCGCGGATCGAGATTCCGCGACGGCGAGGGAGGAAAATGCAAGACTAGATAGTCTGCCAACAAGAGGCTCAAGAGCTCTTGCTTCGACCGGCGGTCGTTGATACGATGGATATGGTGGTGAATCAAGTCAGCGGAAAAGCTGCACGAGTTAGACGCCAACTCAGGGAGCTTCGAGGCCACTTTGGACTTCAGGTCCCTATTATCTGGCCAAGTTCCAGACAAACAGCTCGGCGCCTCGCTTAGTCAGGAGATAAGTCCGGAAGATCCCCTTGCCGGGACGGGGATCGGCAGCAAGCGAGAGCAGCGACAGGTGTGCTGTGGCGCAAGGTGGCTAGTGTGACAGGCCTGCAGATTCTCCAACATGGCCCCGCTAAAAAGTTGAAGCAGCCAAAACTTTTTGACGAGACATCCAACCTCGCGTCTACGTCTCGGACACATACAACAAGATGGCGGCCCCAACGACATTACCAGCGCTGCTGACCTCGCTGACGCAGTCGCTTTCTTCTGCGCTCGAGGTCACCCCCAAAATCGCCGCCATTGAACACCAGAAGGATGGCATCTCCCTCCTCGACGTCAAGAACGAACTGCTCCTTTCCTACCTACAAAACCTCGTCTTCTTGATTCTCCTCAAGCTACGCAACTCCAAGCCGGATTCTGAAAAGACAGACGAAGATGATTCCAAACTGGACGAATCTGTGCGATCAAAATTGGTGGAGCTGCGTCTGTACCTTGAGAGAGGAGCCCGACCACTAGAGGAGAAGCTGCGCTATTCTATCGACCGATTCCTTCGAACAGCCGACGATGTGGAGCGTGAGAGAAAGGCAGCCGAGATGGAACAGAAAGATTCGGGATCTGACGACGATTCTGAGGAGGATTCCGAGGACGAGAGCGAGACTGAGGCCACCTCCCGTAAGCCTGGCGAACTTTCAGCAGGACCCAAGTTCGGAGCTCTGGTTAGCGATGTTGCGACCGAGAAGTCGCGCGATGGAGGAGCGCCAGGCGTTTACCGTCCTCCTAGGCGAGAACGCCAGGTCATGGACGCTCCTCAGCGTCGCGACAAGTCAGACCGGCGCGGCATCAAGTCGCATACTATGGAAGAGTTTGTTGCTTCAGAGCTTTCTTCTGCTCCTCTGGCCCAGCCCAGTATTGGTACCACAATTGTTCAGGGTGGTCGCAAGATGAAGACGGATGCCGAGCGAAAGGAGGAGGCAGAGCGCCGAGAGTACGAAGAGACCAACTTTACCCGTCTCCCCAAGGAGAGCAAGAAGGACCGAGCCAAGAAGGCGAAGCAGTCTGGTCGCAGCAATCGCATGCAGTTTGGTGGCGAGGAGTGGCACAACCTTGGAGAGGGTGTTGACCGCATCGACCGTCTCACCAAGCGCAAGCAATCGGGCGGTGGTGTTCGTGCGCTCCTGGACAAGAGCCGAAAGCGCGGCATTGACACTACGGATGGACCTCGTGGTAGCGGCATGGGACCTGGAATTGGAGAGAGGTTTAACAAGAGGGTCAAGGTGCTGGAGGGAGGACGACGAGACCGTGGCAAGGGTGGCCGTTAGAGGGTTGAACATTATAGAGCATTTTCTTGGGCGACTACATGGGTTGATTTGGGCTCGTCTTGCTTGAACGACCTACCATACTGGCGATGATGGTGTCAAGTACTGGACGAATAATGTTGTAGAGCTAAAAGTCAACTGGCTTCTGCTTGCTGAAAGCCGAGTTAAACGGTTGAAAAGTTGAATAGATTGAGAGGAGTTGCCGAGAAATCCATCTTGACGGCCATAAAAAAGATTCATGTCTAACCCAGGGACCCTTCATGATGGCATGCGGCGATAAGATAAGAGTCCTAAACTTTGGCGGGGGACGAGCTTGGAAATTTCTCTGGCGCCCCTCCAACCTTGAAGATGACCAACTCGACAGAGCAATTGCCGTGATACCCTCTTTCTTATTTGTCTGTTAATTAACATTGTCGCAAGAAACACGGAAGGAGCAGGCAAATTTCATATTTGAACCTCGTAAAGTGGACTGCCGACAGTCTACAACTACGGTTGTCTGCGAGCATAACGCATCTGTCGCAAAGCTACCCTTCATCTCGACCTCGACAGCTTGCAGAAGCAGCCTGGAAGGTTATATGACCTCACGACTCCAACAACTATCGCATACACCTTACATCTTTTAAAATGGCTACTCGACCTGACGAATCCGTGACCCCAATGGACGTCGACGACATCGACCCCAAGCTCCAGCAATCAGCATCCACAAACACTATAGACGACGATGACGATGACGACCCCGTCACGGCCACCTACAACGTCTTCATAAATCCCTCCCTCCCGCTGGGCCGTCGCCTACTCATCCTCCAGCACCCAAACACCGCCAGCGACACCCCTCAGGCCGCACCCACCGAGCTCCGCCTCAAGACCCGCGCAGGCATGGTCGAGGTCGACCTGCCCCTCGACCACAGCGTCGCCTACGACCGCGAGAAGGGTCTCAAGTGGGGAAAGGGCCTGCAAGCTTCCATGGCGGCCAAGAATGGTGGTAGTCATGGTCTGGCTGGTGGTTTTGGCGTTGGTGGTGTGCAGGGTCGTGGTGGGAGGAAGAAGACTGAGGAGGACGCTGATAACCTGGACTGGGCTGAGGCTGTCCGACAGGACAAGGTGTTGAGGACGCAGACTCTGGGTGGACATTATCCCAAAACTCAGAAACAGCTACACATGGTTGGCGTCTTTCAAGGGAGTAAGTACCCCCATTTCTTACTACGCAATGCATTCTCTAACATGTTACTTCAGAGGAGCTCCATCTCACCCCCGTCTCATCCCTCGTTATGCTTCGTCCTCAGCTACACCACATAGACGCAGCCGTTCAACTCGATCGCCAAGCCAACTCAAAGGATGCAGGCCCATCTTCAGGTGCTGGCACAGCCCGGGCTATCCACATGACAGTCAAGACCACCGGAGACGGCGATACAGTCACTACCGAAACCATGGCTGACCGCCTACGCGCCGTCCAGTCCGAAAACTGGCGCAATCTGCGCTTCACCGACGAGAACGAGGAGGCCGCCTGGGAGGTTTACAACGAGAGTCTGTTTCTGCGTCCCACTGAGGACGAAACTCAGGACGAGGAGACAAAGGGCAAGGAGACAAAGGTTGACGCCGCTGCAAAGGAGGAGCGGCCGTTGGAGGATTCTGTTCCCCATTTGGGTCGCAAGTGGGATGATGACGAGTACTTTGAGGCTGTCTTCAAAGTGAAGAAGCCCAAACCCGGCTTCCCAAGCGAATCTTAGAAAGAACCCAGCAAGGATGACTTGGTTGAGGATCACCAAGAGCTCGACTCGAAAGAACTAAGCGGAGTGACAAAGCACCTCCCTCGACGTCCAAAACACCAAACTACGACCTCGGACAACATGATGGTTGACTAGGCTGGCCGTCAATGGCAACGAGGTCCTGGAGATGGTTAAAATGCATGAGACGGCGTAATAGGATACAATGCAATTCATAGAATGGGTTATGCAATGAGACACTGATCCAACACGGAAGCACCTCAGTCGCTTTGCAAAAACGCGTATAATTCGAAATACTATATAACTTATTCTCGATAGAAAAGAGCCCGCTCCCAAACTCTCTCCACGAGTAGTCAGTCGTCCGACATGGTAACCTATGCCGGTAAACACAAAGAGTGCGCTGAGCTGAGCACTCTACGCTTTGATATTTGGTACACCCATCATGCAATGCCAACCGCGATGCGTCGTTCCCAATATTCTCCTCCATCAACCCACAAGTAAACTTGATTCTTTGTTTTTATGCACCACGCATTATCCCGGTTCTCCCTAGTGCTCCCAAATGCCAACCCAGAAACCCCAAGAATCGCCATCGACTGCGTGTAATATCAAACGTCTGTTTACTGGAGAAGCTCAACATCCAACCCGATGGAACGCATAAACAGATTGACGCTGTTTAGCCGCTCGGCCGCCATAGCCGGAGGTAGCGTCTTTGAAACAGTAACCGTGTCGAGGACGCGGTCCTTGACAGCCAAGACAAGGCGAGTCTGTTGGTCGTGAGACGCGCTGACGCCCATGGCTGCAAGAAGTTGCCACACATAGACGTCCTCTCCGGTGTTGACACTACCAGGGAAGATGTGAGGCAACGAAGGCTCAAGTCTGCTAAACAAGGTCTCAAAAGTGCGGTCCCTAATGGTCGTTAGTTCAAGTCCAAATATCTACTCGAGGGCTCACACACCATTTATCCCATTGCTCCGGAGTGCCGGCGCCCGTTTGCTTGAGGAGGACGGCACGGCTAAGAATAAGTGTCAACATGGACACGCCGATTCTCGATCTGGCGATGAGGTCCACGTTGAGCTTTGTGGCAATGAGGTTGAGGACGCCATCAACAATATCCAAACCAGTATCATTGAAGTACTGCATCAGTGATGGCATCACAGTCGAGATGAACAGTTCAATCTTCTCTCGCATCCGAGAGTTAAGAGTAGTCACCTCACCCGGGTTGATGGCCGCGCCTTGCACAACATCCAACTGGTCGAGATGGTAGATGATCATGGTCAAGATGGTAGTTCGTTGCTCAAAAGAGAGGTGAGGGAAGATTCGAGGAATGGCCTTCTCACCCTTGGCGCAAGACAAGAAAGCAATAAAGGGGTGAGGAACGATGACTCCAATCGGCTCATGAACCTTGAGTTCACCCCAAAGCTTGGCGTTGTAAGCCTCCAGAACGGTAGCCCATTCCTTGTGCTTGTTCTCCAGTTCCTCGTCGGGGCTTGTCATGGGAGGGGGAATAAGTCGAACATGGTCCTCAATCTGCATGAGGGTCTGGTACACCTTCTCCACGTTGCGTAGGATCGTCTTTCGGTCGAGGCTGGAGCCCTTCTTTCCGCTGCTCGGACGCTGGTGGTCGCTCTCGGTTCGCTTGATGTTAAGGAGAGGCTTGGGAGTCTTTGCGTTGCTGAAAGAAATCTTTCCTAGACTGCCAGCGATGACAAGCTGGGGATTCTTAGGCTTGTTCTTGGCAGCCTCAACAGCTCGTTGGACCTGCTGTTCCATTCGCTGGAAGTGGTTCTCAGCAGGTCGGCCGTGTCGTCGCATGCCACCCTGACGGCTGCCAGTCTGGTACAAGTACGTCTGGGCAAAGTTGCTGAGAGGCTGGCTGGGGTTCTGTCGCTGACCGGCTCGGATGTGGCTGTAAACCTGATAGTAGAAATCCTCCGCAATGGACGCATCTGAGCCATCAACAGGGTTACCAGTGGCGGAGACGAGCTGTTGGAGCTGGATGCGGGTGATGAAGTTCTTGTCTTGTGGAGTCATCAAGCCATTGTCCTTGGAGAGAAGCCAGATCTTATGGTTACGCTTGGCCCTCTTCGTCTCTTGATCCAAAAAGGCTGCCTTCTCTTCCTCCGACATCTGCATCATCTGAGGATGCGCCTGCAATTGAGCGAGACTAGCGGCGGTGCCATGGGAGTGCTTGGCCTGGTGGCCATGAGGCGCCGCCCGCGCATCGGGGGTAGAGCGGTTAGGGTTCTGCAGGATCTGGGTAGGCTGGACTGGGAGCTGGTGCTGTTGAACAGGAGTTGCCTGAAGACCTTGGGCTGGCGGCGTGGGCTTCGGCTGGATGCTCTGAGGTCGTTGCAAGATAGTCACGGGGTGGCCATGTCCATGCTGCTGGGGAGGTTGCTGCTGAACAGGATATCCAGAAGGAGGCTGCTGATAAGCCAGTTCTGCGATAGGAGGCTGAGGGGTCGGGATCTTGGGCTGAGCTCGCATAGCAGCCTCAACCTCCTCCAGACTCATGACCTTGCGACTAGAAGCGGACGGGATAGATTGAACAGGAGGAGCGGGAGAAGCCTGTTTGGCGGGCTTGGCTGGCCCAATGCCCCAGATACTTCTGTCGACGTGGAGATCGGGAAGCGGTTCAGGGTCTCGGTACTTTTCATAGCCAGAGCGTACAGGCTGTTGGGCGGGCTGGTTGGAGTAGTACGAGTGCATATCGGCGGCGCCATACTGAGGAACTGCGGGGGCGGTCCTGATCGCTGGTCCCTGGCGATGGAATCGAACATGTTCTTCCTCAATAGCACCGGCAACCTTGGCAGTCTGGCCGAAAAAGTCGAAATCCTTGCCAACACTCTTTCCTACCGCAGGGCCACTGTCTCCAAAAGTATCGTCATTAAACGCATCGCCGGTTTCCTCAAGCTGATCTCCAAGACCATCATAGGTATCCTCAAAGTCGAGAGCATCGTCGCCATCTCCATCCCTGCCCGACAACCCTGCAAAGGGGTCGTGGGCTTGGGAGAAGCCAGGCGCCGCCGTGTTATGGCGACCGGTTGCGTCGAAACCGAAGAATGACATGTTGGTTATCAGATTCGAAAGTAAAGGAGTGAACGGTGATTGTGCTAGGAAGAAATTAGTATTGTGTCTGGAGGCCAGGTTAAGTCCTTTTAGCAGCCCTGAGCTTCGGGCCCCGCCCAAGCTGTCATCCAGCGCTCCCCTGCCTGACAGACGACAAAGATCGTGGTCCTTCGGAAGAATTAAAGGATATATCGCCAAGTTTCGGATTTCGATATCCCAGAACCAACGCCCATTCCCATGTGGCCACTCTACTGAATTTGTCGGGCACATTGTACATAGGTGATCTAGGCACAGCCAAGTCGTCCTCGGAGTTGTCCATGTCGACAAGCCTTGCTTCTGCCCTGGCGGAGTGATGACCACTATTCCCATGTTCGCCCCATCCACAGGTCCCTTTGGCGAAATGTCGTTGATCGTCCAGGAAGGTTCGGGCTCCGGAGAAGCATCCAGAAGGCTTCTACGGACGAAACCGCAGATATCACCAGACGCATCGTCGGGGGTCGAGACGCGAAAGACCAAAGAAAAGTACTCACCACTAAGAAAAGGAGATCCTTGCGGGGTCGGCCAACGCGCACAAATCTATCATGATGTCTTTGAACAGTTCGGGCGAAGGAGGTTTGTATCCTAGCCAACCATGCAAAGATAGCAGGAAGCTGGCGGAACTGGGAAGACAAGGTTCGCAGAGCTCTGGCTAAACGCCGAGAGGTTGAAGATGCTGGGGGAGGCCGGCTAACGGAGAGCGCAGTGCAGAAGAGATGCGCGGCGAGGCTCTTCTGCCAACGATGATGCGACGAGGAGCCAGCGATGTGCTCCAAGCCTTTCCCCACATGTGGGATATTCCGTTCCCGGAGCACGGACCTGCGCAGGCATGGCTGAGTCACGTGGATTCACACGTGAGAGAATTTTTGGAAGAGCTCCATCGCTGCAAACCTGCAAGGGCGTTATGGCTTGTAAGCCTCAAAACGCTGACTTCCAAGCTCAGAGGTGAGACCCTGCTATGATGCATGGCTCTGATGCATCTGGAAAGGATATTTCTGTTTTAGATCGTGATACCGTGCTCCAATTGAAGACAATGCGTTTCCGAACTTGCATGCAACGACTGGGGAGTTGCATTGTTCTTTAACCGCTTGCAGCTTACCTCGACCTCTGCCTTTATTCTGAGGAACGGTTGGAAACAATTATCGCCGGCCGATGACATGATCGAGTGGTTTTTAGACTACGAGTCTGCTAGAAACGGACAGATCTCCCTTATCTTAAGGCTTGCTGCGTGTACGTGTCAACCTGTAGTAAGGACGCAGCGGTCAAATGGCTGATCGATTGATCAGTTAGTTATCTATTCTTCTCCAATCTTCTCACGACGAACCCCTTCCATGGCCCCCTCAAGCGTATTCAAAGACATAGTATGGTTTGTTAAGCCCTATGGCGCGGAGTGAGTCGCCGGCCATCGTTTATTTGACGCAGGCGAGCTGAGGTTGTGCAGTAGCTGGTGGACTCATGAAATTGCGACAAAAGCTACGGCTACGACGGAAATATACAAATGTCGCCATCTCATCTCATGCTTGGTGACGACTGAGAGCAATTGCTGACTTGTACCCAACCCAGGACTGAAAGTGCATAATACAAGAGAGATAGAGATTGTATCTTTGTACACGTAGTTCAAGATAACGAGCTTAGATATCAAGCCCTTCTATTTGCAGACAAGACTTCTAGCCTCCCTCGACCTTTCAACGAAAGCTGAAACAAGGGGTCTGGCGAACATCCCCTGTCGATAACAGCCTCGTAAGCAAAAGAAAGGGATACGACGCTTGCAGAGAAGGTGGGGAGAATTGAGCTGTTACAGGCTGAGCGCGGAGCTCCTAGCCGCAAGGTACCTTTTTTTATCGCCCGCCTAAAACAAGGCCAAGGAAACGTAAAAGGGGGCTCCCTCTCGAATCAACAAATACGAGAAAAAAGGTGGTGAGGCATCGAGAAAAGCCGCCTTGCCGGATCAAGGAGCAAAGCTGCTGCCACAAAGTGTCTTGGTGATGCGGCTTGTAGTAGCAGTGGACCCGTCATTCCATCAGTTCTCGAATGACAGCTGGGAGGCGGCTGTGATGATGAAAGGGGGACGCAATCCCTCCGAATTGGCAGACGAGGGGCCTTGCAAAAGACTCGCATCTGGGTTGTCAGCCTCCGTGCCCGTCCCCTATCTTGAAGGAACAGCCGGGCCCCCTGGAGGCGCCGAAGAGGTTGCTATCACTGGAAGCTCTGCTCTGCTCCATCCAAGCGTCTGGACTCTGACGAAGATGGAACCAGCGGGCAATAGCTTCGAATTGTGGCGGCCACGATTTTAGTAGAGATCCTCTACCCCCTGAACGTCAGAGGCATCAGCTCAAGTAGCGCCAGGAGAAGGCATAGGTATCTTTTGATGAAGAGTACCTGACCCCAAGTACTCCCAAGGAGGGCAGGCCACGTCTCAAGTAGCACAGACCGCCCCAAAGTACTTGTCTTGGCGGGCATCTCGCTGTACCTTCAAGTCCCGCGTACCTGACTTGACGATCGTAGACCCGCTCCTTGCTCATCCCCGGACACTCTGTTCATCCCCCATTCCTCCCGTATCGACTCGACTCGACTCTCTTGTCGTTGTCTTTATTCCTCCTTCTCCCCCATCACGAGCATCTCCTGCATCGTGTGGTCTTGCATTTCTTTTTTCCTTGGTTGATTCAGGTCCACAGTCGACCATTTCAGGCGTCATTCAGACTCCATCGAGGACGGGATGATTGTTTGAGTGCCACCTTTAGTACAAAAGTTTCTCGGCCTTGCTTGGCTCCTAATCTTTTTTCGCCCTGTGCGCGCCCACTCCCCGTCGCGACAGATCATCCTTTCTCCATCCTTCATCATCACCTTTTTCGGATTCTTCGAGCCCTTCCTTTATTGACGGTTCCGCATCGTCGAATCCATCTTCACCATGGCTGCTGGTCATACGCGCTACGTGCGCTACATTGCGCTCGCGCTCTTTGTATGTCGCCGCCTCCTGCTCTCGCCAGCTTACGTCGCCACTCGCTAACGTGTCTTGTCCCAGACGCTCACTATGTTCTACTTCTTCTCCAACTCGAGATACGAGACCATCCCCGTCACCGGCAACGTTGGAAACTTCCCTGGTGGCCCCGGAAGCCCTGCAACTGGTAGCAACCAGCAGGCTCCTGGCACTGTTCCCAATGCCCCCAACTCTGGCAACTCTGTCAACTTCCCCCAAGGAGAGACCGCCCCCGTTCCCGGCGATGATGATACCTCCCTCACCAAGGACGAGATTCCCGCCCAGAAGCCTGCTGCTGAGGGCGCTGCTCCCGTTGAGCCCGAGGGCGCCGCTAAGCCTGCCGATGAGCTCGCCAACGCTCCCATGGCCATGAACCCCGGCGAGCCTGGTTGGGACAACCTCCTGGGCACTGCTCCTGGTCCCCGCATGAACGCCACCTTTGTCACTCTTGCTCGAAACAGCGACGTTTGGGAGATTGCCGAGTCTATCCGTCAGGTCGAGGATCGATTCAACCGACGATACAACTACGACTGGGTCTTCCTCAACGACAAGCCCTTCGATGATCAGTTCAAGAAGGTCACCAGCTCTCTCTGCTCTGGTAAGACTCACTACGGTCTGATTCCTGAGGAGCACTGGTCCTTCCCCGAGTGGATTGACCAGGAGAAGGCCAAGAAGGTTCGTGAGGATATGGCCGCCCGCAAGATCATCTACGGTGATTCCGTCAGCTACCGCCACATGTGCCGATTCGAGTCTGGTTTCTTCTTCCGACAGGAGATCATGATGAACTACGAGTACTACTGGCGCGTTGAGCCCTCTGTCAAGCTCTTCTGCGATATCCACTACGACCCCTTCCGTGTCATGCACGAGAACAACAAGAAGTACAGCTTCGTTCTCTCTCTCTACGAGTACATTGACACCATTCCTACTCTCTGGGACAGCACCAAGAAGTTCATGGCCAACCACCCCGAGCACATTTCCGAGGACAACTCGATGCGATTCCTTAGTGACGATGGCGGCAACACCTACAACAAGTGCCACTTTGTGAGTTCAAACGTCTCAAATGCCTTCATAAACTAACACTTTTTAGTGGTCCAACTTTGAGGTTGGTAGCCTGTCTTGGCTCCGAAGCAAGCCTTACCTCGACTTCTTTGAGTCTCTCGACAAGGACGGTGGTTTCTTCTACGAGCGATGGGGTGATGCTCCCGTTCACTCTATCGCTGCTGGTCTTCTCCTCAAGAAGGAGCAGATTCACTTCTTCAACGACATTGCCTACTACCACGTTCCCTTCACTCACTGCCCCACTGGTGAGCAGAAGCGTCTTGATCTCCGTTGCCACTGCAACCCCAAGGAGAACTTTGACTGGAAGGGCTACTCTTGTAAGCACTTGTGACTTGTGACGTATGGATGATCTGGCTAACACAGCAACTAGGCACCTCCCGATATTACGAGCTCAACGGTATTGAGAAGCCTCAGGGTTACGAGGAGCAGCAGTAAAGCAACCGCATGGAGAAGATTAGCGGCGGGATTGTACGTTTATCATACAGGTTGTAATGCTCGGTAGATTGTTTGCCTTATTTTTAGGCCGCACTTGATGGGTGGGTTGGGGATGTTTGCAAGTGGACAAAATTAGGCGTCTAGGTTTGAAATACTTTGGACAGCTTTGGTCATGTAGATGTGTATGAATCGAATCGATCGACTGTTTGGGATCTTTGGCATGCATGGCTGCTGAACTTGCTTAAAAATAATGTACAATATCGATACATGGCCGTAGCCAGGTTCTATCATGACGACCTTGACCCATCCATCATTGCGCCACCTCGAGTCATCTCGACGATATATCTAGACAAATCGTTTTTCCAATTGCTTAACCGACAGTGGCCTTCTTGGGCTTCTTGGTACCAAACTTGCTTCGACTTGTTGTTCGGCTGGCAACACCGCCCTAGACAATTGTTAGTATTTAATTCTCACTTGCAACCTCAGACCCCAATTTGCAGGCCCAGCATCTTTGAAACATACCAGATCCAGAGCTCCTCGAATGAGACGGTATCGCACACCGGGACAATCCTGCGCTCGGCCGCCTCTCACAAGAACAACACTGTGCTGCTGAATGTTGTGTCCCTCACCAGGAATGTAGGCGGTAATCAAAGCGCCGGTAGAGAGCTTGATACGAGCAGTCTTGCGCTCGCCAGAGTTGGGCTTCTTGGGTCGGACGACACCCACACGGAGACACACACCCTTGAGAGCCGGGCAATGCGTGTTGGACAAGGCAGGAGAAACGGCGTGACGAGCTCGCTTGCCCTTTCGAATTCCGCGGAGGACCTGGTTCAGCGTCGCGGGGCGGGCAGCTGTAGGTGCGAATGCGCGGGGCGCAGAGGTGGTGAAGGATCGGGGGGTGTTGAGGAGGCGGTTTGGTGTTGAGATGACGGCCGAGGCGAGGGGTCGGCGGGTGGCCGGGGAGAAGAACTGGCGGAGGATGGAGCCGACCATTGTGACGGATGGTATCGGGTCGGGTTGGGGCTTGTCGTGGGTTGAATTGATCCAATTCCAACCTGTTCTCTTTCCTACACCACCAAGCTCCGATGAAGCCATATCAAAATCTCAGCCTCCCGCAATTGAATCACGTGATGAGCTTCAACGGAATCTATCATCCTCCGTCCTCCGAATTAGATCACATGTTACCCCGGCATCTGGCATCTTGGGGCCCCACCTGACGTCACCGGTTAATCCCCGGATCTTGTCCTCCTCCCCGCACCGCCCGCATTCTGTCAACAGCTACCGGTCGTCGGTTCCCCAAACTGTTTTACTGCCGGTGTAATACCGAATGACCTCGACTGTTCGGGTGGTTATCCTCGGCTGCCCAAGGCCGAGAAGAACCAGCTCTTGAACCGCGAGACGCCCGCGGGTAGGCAATGTATTAGTGTGGCTGCGTTGATATATGGGGGGTCAAAGGGGGGGAGGAGCTGATTTCTACTCTTCATTTCATTTTCTCTTTCCTTTACATACCTCGATTAAAGGAAGCTGTCCCTGTTCCGGCTTGTTTTGTCCTCTCGTGGCTTGTGATTGTCTCTCCTCCACCTCGATATCTCGGCGATCAGACACCTCCCACTTCCTCCTCCGACTTTCCCTTTTTTAAATTCCGACCCTCCTGTTGGAATTTTTGTAACCTTCCCCCTTCTCTCTCGAGTTTCTTCGTTTGATACCCCCAATCTTCTTCCGCCATGTCGTCGTTTACTCGGGTCTTGCGCCCTGCCCTGAGAGGAGGACGAGGTCTTACACAGCGCGTCGCCACCGCTCCCCGTTGCATGACGAGGATAAGCCCGTAAGCAAAACACACAAACCCAATTGTCTAGACCAATTGCTTACCTGTACCCTTCAGCAACGTTGCCCGACCTCTGTCCACCACAGCCACCCGTCGCAATGACCACATCGACATCTCCGAGATCCCCCCAACGCCCATCTCGCACCTCTCAGAGGTCGAGGCCGCCATGGCCGACACCGTCTCCAAGTTCGCCACCGATATTGTCCTCCCCAAGGCTCGCGAGATGGACGAGGCTGAGGAGATGGACCCCGAGATTGTTGAGCAGCTGTTTGAGCAGGGTCTCATGGGTGTTGAGATTCCCGAGGAGTATGGTGGTGCTGGCATGAACTTCACCTCTGCCATTATCGGCATTGAGGAGCTCGCCCGTGCTGATCCCTCCGTGTCTGTCCTTGTCGATGTGCACAACACTCTGTGCAACACTGCCATTATCAACTACGGTTCTCCCGCCTTGAAGAAGAAGTGGCTTCCTCGCCTTGCGACCAACACGGTCGCCTCCTTCTGTCTCTCCGAGCCCGTCTCTGGCTCCGATGCTTTCGCGCTGGCCACCAAGGCTACTGAGACGGCTGACGGCTTCAAGATCAACGGCGGCAAGATGTGGATCACAAACTCGATGGAGTCTGGCCTCTTCATCGTCTTTGCCAACCTCGACCCCAGCAAGGGCTACAAGGGCATCACCGCTTTCCTGGTTGAGAAGGGAACCCCTGGTTTCTCCATCGCCAAGAAGGAGAAGAAGCTGGGTATTCGCGCCTCGAGCACCTGCGTCATCAACCTCGACGATGTCGTTGTGCCCAAGGAGAACCTCCTTGGTGAGCGCGGTCACGGTTACAAGTACGCCATCAGCCTGCTCAACGAGGGTCGCATTGGTATCGCCGCCCAGATGACTGGTCTGGCCCTCGGTGCCTGGGAGAACGCTGCTCGCTACGTCTGGAACGACCGCAAGCAGTTCGGCCAGCTCGTCGGTGAGTTCCAGGGCATGCAGCACCAAATCGCCCAGTCCTACACTGAGATCGCCGCCGCCCGCGCTCTTGTCTACAACGCCGCTCGCAAGAAGGAGGCCGGCGAGAACTTTGTCAGGGACGCCGCCATGGCCAAGCTCTACGCCTCTCAGGTCGCCGGCCGCGTCAGCGGTCTTGCCGTTGAGTGGATGGGCGGCATGGGCTTTGTGCGTGAGGGTCTTGCTGAGAAGTACTTCCGTGACAGCAAGATTGGTGCCATCTACGAGGGCACCAGCAACATTCAGTAAGTCATATGTTTCTGTCTATAAAGTGATAATGCTAACATTATGTCAGACTCAACACTATTGCCAAGCTGCTCCAGAAGGAGTACACTTCTTAGATGGGATAGAGGCAATGTAGAAAGAGAACGGATATAAATAGGAACAAAAAAATGCCAAAAGATTGAAACTATCATGTTGTCTCGTCCACTGAAACATTGAATAATTGTTTTTGTGTTGTAAATCGAGAATGGTTGCCTTGACTATTGCCAGCCAACCACGAGTTGAGTTGAGTTGAATGATGTTTCAGTACCTCACAACCATCGAGTACAGTACCCCAGCGGAACGAAGAAAAGGTCGTGAAAGGCCCGATCTTTGGTCTCAACCGTAGTTACGCTTGAACACATATCACATTACTGATTATCGAGACTACCCACACGCAGCATGACAACCACTATCGTGATCTATAAAAACAAGAGTATACCATACTACTACTAGCTACCCTTCGGCTTGTTTCCAAGAGCCTCGTTACTTCTCGCTTCTATTAAGCAGACACGCTGTTTCTCCCATTGCTGTCCGCTGTCTGCCACTCTGGCCCCTGACATGGCTTCAACCACGACTTGACCATCCTGTTTTTTTCTCCAACCTCTTTCCGTGACAACAAATCACCTACAACCAAACAGCAAACAATGGAAGCGCCTCGAGACGCTCTCCCCGAGCTCGCTGCACCGACATCACCTGCCCGCGGTGTCCGGTCCATCTAACCATCACGCCTGGGTATCCGATAGGCAAGACAATTCCTCACCGCGGCGCCATCATGTCAACAAAGAATTGCAAAATCGTCAATCTTGTGTGCAGTCGTTTAATCAAAGTCGGCAGTGTAAGAGAAGCCACGGAACTCCTCCTGCATAGCCTGCGACAAGACTGGAGACAAATATTAGCATGGGACTTCCAGAGAGTCAAGAAAAACTTACCAGACTGAACTGGGGTCAAAACAGGGGTAACACTCGTAAACTCGGAATCGAAGTTGCTGGTATCCGTCGGGTTCTTGATAGAAGGCATGAAAGGAGGCTGCACCCGCTTGTGGTAGATGTCGTCCCAGTTGATGTTGCGGAAGAAAGGCTGGCTCATCACCTCCTGTGCGTCAGTTGGGCCGCTTCCGAGTCGCTGATCCGGCTCACGAGTGAGCAGCTTCTGAAGGATCGAGACGGAATCCCTAGGCATGTGGATCGGGTACAGAGGCTCATCAGCAAGGATAGCGTCGTAGATTTCGTCCTCATCCTCGCCTCGGAAGGGGGATTGCTGAAGAAGCATCTGGTAGATCAAGACACCAAATGCCCACCAATCGACGGAGCGTCCGTACTTCTTGTCAAGCAGAATCTAATTCACATTAGAGAAATCTCACATTCAGTCATCGTCAAGACATACCTCGGGAGCCATGAACTCGGGAGTACCACAGAAGGTGCTCGTTGTCGAACCATACCACATATCCTCCTTGCAAAGACCATAATCACCAATCTTGACATGGCCGTCGAGCGACAACAGAATGTTGTCGAGCTTCAGATCACGGTAGATGACACCGTTCTCGTGGAAGTACTTGAGGGCCAAGCAAACCTCAGCAGCGTAGAACTGCGCTCGCTTGGTACCGAATTGTCCACGCTGAATGTGAAGCATCAGATCACCACCACTGACGTACTCCATGACAAAGTAGACACGGGTTTCGGTCTGGAAACAGGCGTGCAGGTTGGTAAGGAAGGGGTGTCGTCCCCTGTTGGCCACCAGGAACACTCGCTTCTCGGATCGGATGCTCTCGACTTCGTCGTTCTCAATGATAAACTCCTTCTTGAGCACCTTGATAGCATAAAGCTTTCGAGACCTCTTGGTCTCAGCCAACATGACCTTTCCAAAGTTACCCTTACCCAGCACAGCAAGGAAGTTGAAGTGATCAAGACCAATACGCTGACCAGTGCCGGGATCGGTAGCAAGAGGGAGCTGCATTCGCTGTCCGCCAGACACGGATCCCTGAGAGGGAGACATGGGTTCCGCCTGGGGCTTGTGCGGAGGCACCTGCGGCTGTTGTTGGTAAGAGGGCTGCTGCTGTTGCGGCTGCTGTTGCGGTACCGGGGGCAACGGTTGTTGAGGAGGTGGTTGCTGAGGATACTGCTGTGGCTGAACAGGTCGTTGAGCCTGCTGAGGAGCTTGCCCACCATAGCCAGGGTTGACATTGGCATAGTCTGCGGGGTTGTACTTGCGCTGCTGTCCAGCACCAGGTTGACTTGCTTGACCATACGCATCCTCCTGTTGGTCATAGCCACCGCTGTAACGTCCGTAGTCCGACTGTTGCCGTTGAGCACCACCGGGGGCGCCAGACATCGCTGCACTGGCAGCTGCGGTTGCCGCTGAGCTGGAGGATGTTCGATCGGGGTGTGGTCTCTGCCCTTGAGGCTGGTTATACATGAGCTTCGCTGCCTCGGTCGCCTCAGGGGACGCTGGCCCGGGCGCATAACTGGGAACACTGGAGCTCGAGTACGAAGGTGCTGCGGAGTGAGTGCTAGTCGGGCTCGTCTTTCCAGGTCGGAGGGTCTTCTCGGTGAGTGACGAAACCTTGGCCTGCCTCTGCTTTTGAGTCCTGATACCGTCCAAGATCTGGTTGGCCACGGCCATGGACATGCCGCAGAAGTCTGGAACAAGGTGAACACACTGGGCGTGGCAAGTAAGACCACATTCTAGGCAGCATTAGTCCCGTCCAAAGTGAATTACCAATCACAAACTTACCGGAACACTTTCGACAATTCTTCTTTCCAAAAGGCAGGATGTAACCGCAGTGACAGCACCAGTTTGCAGTCATATTCGAGAAAGGAGTAAACCTGTGAGGAATACGGTGGTTGATCTTCTCCTCGTCTGGGTCTGTCTCTGCATTACTCTTGCTAATGCACTTTGTGACCACGCTGGAATAACACTTGGTATGGCAAGTGTACTTGCAATCCTCGCACTGCATGCCGGCCGAGTACTTGAGGAAATCTCCGCAGAGAGCGCAGCGCATGATGTTGTAGAACTGGTGCTGCACAAACTTGTGGCCGTACATCTCGTGAACCTCCTCCTTGCGCTGACGGACGGCACCCTTTCGTCCAAGACCGAGGTCGACAGGCCGCCTGTCGCTCTTGTTGAAACTCATTTGAAGCTGAATCTGTCCTGTGGGTTCGAGATTGAACCACCCTTCGATGGGTCCTGTGTTGACCTGAGGTTGAGGACCGGGTGTTCCGTATGCGCCAGGCTGTTCGTTGCCCTGCTGAGGGCCGTCGGGCGATGTAGGGGATCCTCCAAAGGAGCCCTGAGATGGGCTCATTGGGAATTGCGAAGGAGCAGAAGCGCTACCCATCCTGTCCGCAGACACCCAACCGGAGCTGTTCATCTCGGCCTCGATCCTCTTGCGGCGTATCTCCTCAATGATGTCGGAAATTCGAACCCAAAGCATGGCAATGGGCATTGGGTGCTCGCCAGGCTTATCGTAGACGGTCAGTTCGATTTCGTTAGCCTTGTCCACCTCGATGGTGTGATATTCAGCCTCCCAGCGATCGTTTCGCGAGGCCCTCGTTCGAGCCATGACGGTGTCTTCAACCTTGACGGCAACGAAAGTCTCGGGTCCTCGCGTGAATCTTCCAGTAGGAGCGTGATCAACATCCTTGACGGCAAGGACTCGAATCGACAGGCTTCCACTGAGGGGCTTCCTGAGGTTAGGTGTGTTGATCGAGTCGTCTACTTCATGTCAGTATGCAACACTAGTCGAGACAAGAGACAAGCTCACCATCCTGGGCATCCGCAGTGTCCATGTCGATGTGCAGCTCTTCGTATCTCTTGAGCGCCTGCTTCAGCAATACTATCTTCTGCTTGCTCTCAACTTTCCTAGCAGCGGCGTCGGCCTTGCTCTTCCGATCGCCCTCCATGCCGTAGAGTTGCACCATCTTTTCAATACCCTTCAGATACTGCTCCTCAACATTGAGCTTGAACTGAATCTGCGATAGCATGAGCTGAATGCGGGGTCCCAAGTGCGGTGTGTCATATTTGATCAGATCTGTCCCGTGTTAGTTCTGCGTAGGGTAGGCAGATAAGAGCGAGGCCATCACAAACCTAGCCTATTAAAGTTTGGTCGTGCCCTCGGGATACCAGAGCCAGGTCCTGGACTGGCATAAGGATGGCGCGGAGGCATCAGATCAGAGTGGCCGCCACCGTATTGCCCCGAGCCAGAGCCGTAGGAACCCCTCTCTCCCGCCCAGTTGCCTGAACCATCCTTGGGAGGGGGCGCTGGAGCGTCGTCGCCAGCATCGTCCAAGGACATGCCTTCGACGCCTTGGCCGATACGTCGCTGCTGGATGTCCTGCAGCTTCTCCTCGAAGAACTTGAGGTTTCGGCGGCCATCGCGCATCTGAGAGTCGAGGCGGGAGCGGACTGCCTCGTTGTTGGTCTGAGCCCTCATCGCATTAGCGGCGTTGATGAGGGCCTTTTCCCTCTCAATCTTCTTGTAGATATTCTGAATTGCTTCCTCGTCGTTCATGGCGGTCGTGGGTGCGCGATGCGTTCGCGCGAGACGGGGAAAGATGAGGGAGGAATGGGACGGAGGCGAAAGCCGTCAAGACGAGCCGGTATACGCAACCTCTGCGACGCCTTGGATGCGGCGGGCGAGGGACGGTCGACAGGTTTTGCCCAGGAGGAACGGCGAGACGACGGGATCGACAGCTGACGTCTCGCGTGGTTGGGTACCGAGCACAGCAGCACAGGCGGAGAGGTACCGGGTGCGTGCGTGGCCTTTGGCCGGCGGGCTTCTGTCGCTTGGCTTGTACGAAGCAGAAGCAGAAGCTGGCGGGTTAGGAGTAGGAGAAGTCAGGAGGGGGGAGGAGGATCAAAGGGTGGTGTGGTGGGAGATGTCGTCAGTGACGAGGTCGAGGTTCTGGGGAGGGGGTTAAACGACCTCAGGCTTTGGGCGTTTGGCGGGGTCGGGTTTTTGTGTGTGTTTTGCATGCGGCAGCGATGGATAGCGGGCGGTAAGCTAGCCTTAGGTACCACTCACGGCAGGTAGAGGTAGGTATGGATCCCCTCAGCGAGACAAGCAAGCAATGGCTCTCGAATCCAGTCGTTTTTCCCTAACAATGCTTTTCCCCTGGTGATCCTGTAAGTAGAGAACAGAGAGGGAGGAGAGTCTGTAGAGGGAAAAGGCGAGGCAGACAGGCAGGGGGGGAGGCGGGAAGAGAAAGCCCAATGCTCCAGAGCCAATGCCCAAACCTTCCATAAGGTACGAGACCTGCTGCTAAGGCACTGTACTGTACCCAGCCCAGGGAGCTTAGACCGCTCTTGCGTTACCTTGGGTCGTCGATCAGGCTGGGTTGTTGGCTGGCCGGGGGGAGCTTGTAGCGGCGGCGTAGCTCTTTTGCTTGACGGGTGGACGACACGACGTACGAGTATCTGCACTGTAGCAGGGTTCGTTCGGCCACCAAGACAAGGCACTGGGCTCTGATATGATCAGGCGGCTTTTTTCCCTCTCTTTCTCAAGGAGGTGTTTCAGCCGATATATGCCGCAGCCTTCTCGTCTTGGTGATGTTTCCTCTCTTTCATTGTCCGGCTGAGACGCTGGTGCTGCGGATCAGAAGGTGAATAGCAACGTAGCAGACGGCATGTTAAATGTGTCGCCACAAGAGGGAGGCTTTGCCTCTGGTCAGATGGCACAGCCCGCCATGCTTACGCGGGCAAAGAATTTGGATTCCATATAGTGCACATTAGGACTGGATGATGTGCGCCTTGGAGGGGTTTGTCCACCAGGACAATTAACCATGCTTTGTTGTGCTGTTCAAAACTGGGCTCTGACAATGACCTGTTTGTAGGTGTCCTACTTGAAACAGAAGTTCCAAGGCATGGGATTCATGAGGCACATGGTGCATCTGCAGAATCTTGGTCATGAAACAAGCTTTCGAAACGAAGACTGTTATACATATGGGCATGTTTTGCATGATATCTTCAACACAGTTTAAACCGAACTCAACCGTTAAGCAGAATTACCGTAGACGTATGTATCGAACATGTCACCTATGATTCCATCTTAATTCTTACTTTTTTCCCCATGCGCCGCGCGGTGGATTATTACCCGCCGCATGGCGCATCAGGCATAAAAGATTATAAAATGTGACACATATACAAAAGGTGAGTTTCGAGTCCTACAAAGTCCTAGAATCAGACCAACCGGTTTTCCCCCCTCACCTCACGCAGCAGACCACAAACACACCCAACACCGCCTGTCGCAGATCTGACCTGACCGCTGCTTGCGCGCATGGTCCTTATCAGTTGGGTGCAATCAATCTCAGACCTCGACACGACCCAGCTTCATTTCTGGGCGGGCGAATCAGAACCTCAAGACCATCATCTCTTCATCCAAGCTCATATAAGATCCCTGAGTCACCCTGGTGAAGTTAGATGACAGGGACCGTTCCTCTGCGGGAAGACCTGTCAAAGAAAAGCAAAGGGTCCTTGGAAGGATTGTCCTCCTTCTGACCCTTTCAGCCCTACCAGGTGAGCATCCGCTAGCCGTGTGTCATGGGATATGCCGCTGCCCGATTGGCGGCGGGGGAGCATGCAGAGTTCAAAGCAAGCATCCATCGTGAGTCTTTTGTGTCCAGGTCTAAGTCTAAGTGAAATGCTTTCTTTTATGTGTCAAGCAAATAGTCTACAGCTTCTGCATTAAAATATTGTACACTATGTTCAGTTTTTTTACATCCAAGTTGGGTTTTTCATAGACTCATCATCTCACAAGCATCATGAAGCTTGCTGTCAAAAACGCTCCCGCCAACGCTCCCTCGAGCGCCAACAGCGAGGCGTCTCTCATGCGCAGGTCTATTCGTCGCTCGCTGCACAGGTCCTCTGCCTTTTCTTTCCACCACTCGGGGTCCTTCAGCTCCTCCAGCATCTCTTCCCATGTCTTTGGTGGTGCTGTGGGCTTTTCTATTGGTGTTGCCACCGCTGGTTTAACGGGATCTGTAGTCTGTGTTGTCTTGGTTGACATGAAGCCTTCGGCGGCCACTGCCTCTCCGGATGCCGCGGCCTCCGCAGGAGAGTCCGTTGCCTTGACAGCTCCGGTCAGGGCTTCAGCTGCTGCAAGCTGATCCCGCTTCTCGATCGCGAGCTTGACCTGCTCCAGCTCGCCTCGAACCTCCTCAAGCACAGCCTTTTCCTCGGCAACAACGCCCTTGACCAACCTCCGTCGCTTCCAGGGCTCTGCCACAAACTGTAGGACGACAAAGAGCACAAAGTTCATGCCCATTAGGCCCCATGTGCCCCAGGTACTTGCTCTCCGGATCCGGTCACTCCAAATCTGTTCCTCATGATACCGCTTCAGCATGCCTGCATTGAGACGCATACTCAAGCTCTGCTCGTCGGCTTCAGCCTCTGTAAGTGTTTCTTGGGAGGCGACGACCTCTCCTTCAAGTACGTGGTCTGCCCGGTAAAGCTCGGTAAATCGCTCCAGGTCCCCGGGAGACCAGCTATCCTTCCGCGCTAATAATGTTGTAACCTCTCGCTGTGTGGCAGCGCGGCTTGCGTTGGATGTCTTGTATGCCTGGCGGGCGTTGCGGACTCGGTCGTGCGCCTCGGCCAGCTGTGTCTCTATCACGGCGTTCTGACGCTTGATGGACTCGATGCTAGTGTAGCCGGTAATATCGTTGAGGGTCTGGGAGGCATTCATCGCCCGGTTTTGCAAAGTGTCCATTGCACTGGCAAACTTTTCCTTCAACTCGCCGAGTTGAGCATACGCCAATTTTCGGAGGGCCTCGGCTCTTGAGCGAGTTTCTTGCGGTTGAGCGGTTTCGTTCGGCTTCTCATTTTCGGTTTTCGCTTCCACTCTCAAAGTGTGAGGCTTCTCTTCCTCCTCTGCAGGTTTCTCGAAGTTCGGGTGGCCTAGCCTTAGTCGTTCTGCCCTGGGTCCCTCGATCTGGCGTTGAGGCTTGAAGGGCATCGGTCGGGGTTTGGGTTTGAGGATGGACTGGAGTTCGGCCTCGACTTCCTTATCGGTCCTCGAGCCTGAGCCTGAGCCCTTTCCTGAGCCGTTGGGTGGTGTCTGGTTGGAGAAAAGCCTTGGCTGGAGGCCAATGGCTTGTATACTGCACCGCACACATATTGCCGGGTTCTGGACGAGGGATCTTGACCTGCCCGGCCTCGTCGACAGATCGAACCCCAGTCGAGCGTGACCCCAGGCAAGCCTCGCCGCAGGACGGGCAAAGGGCTGCATGACGAGCACCGTTGCAACGGTTGTAGGTGCAGCGTTGACTCGAACGAGTCCCGTGGGAGCGAATTGACTCTCGGAGGGGGCGGGCTGTCTTCGCACAAAAGGTTGAGAAAGAACCTACATGGGCCGAGCCGAAAGAAGCTACCACCACGGGCCACCACCACCCACCATAAAGCTGCTGTTCCTGCTACTGGTCCATCTGCCGCTCCGTCCCGGGCGTTTTTCTGCCGCTAACCGGAGCGAGAACCGGCCCCCACCGCGTCACCGCCTTTGCCGCTGAGGAAGCTGGAAAAACGCGGGTGCATGTGCCTTGCAGCGGGGCTCTCATCGCTCATGGAACTGTCTAGAGGCTGAGTCAGGGTCTCGAGAGCTGTTTCTCGGGGCGTTCACAGGGGGCTTGTGCGCTGAGAGCTTGGTGGGGGACACCTAGAAAAAAAAAAAAGAGGTGTGGAGGGGCAGATTTTTGATCTAATGACGACAGTCTCAACAGGCACAATCAAGGAGCCAACCACCGCCAGGACGGTTAAAGAGTTGCTGATATGCGTTGTTTTCCTGTGTCTGTCGTGTATCTCACTAGTCATGATCCTTGGTTGTTAGATCTTCCAATCAATTGATCCAGTTTATATTGCGCTTCTCTCGGGTTGTCAGTTTCTGCGACCCTCCGTTGTCGCATTGTTCCTCCTCATGAAAACGTGCCCCTCCCCCGCCATTTTGATTCTCTGTCATATCTTCTCAGCAACAAAAGTCTATCCTTGAGATAACGTCTAAATAAGACCAACATCGCTCGCTCATTTATCTGGCACGCAAGGAATCGGTATAGACTTTGGGATAGAGCTTACGAGACACTTAATACTCCTCTTCAACACCCCCAACACCGTCATCATGGCCTCCTCAGACACCCCAGCTCTCAAGAACAACCCCAAGTTCATCTTCTTCACAGACTTTGACGGCACCGTCACCACCGCCGACTCTAATGACTACATGACCGACAACCTGGGCTTTGGTGTCGAGCGCCGCCGTCAACTCAACAAGGACGTTCTCTACGGCCGCATGCACTTCCGCGACAGCTTCGTCGAGATGCTGGATAGCGTCAAGACCCCTTTTGACGAGTGCATCAAAATCCTCCTCCACAACATCAAGCTGGACCCTGGGTTCAAGGAGTTTTACGACTGGGCCAAGGTCAACAACGTGCCCATTGTCATCCTAAGCGGTGGCATGCAGCCCATCATCCGCGCTCTTCTGGATGTGCTTCTGGGACCTGGATGGGATATTCAGATTGTGAGCAACGATGTGAGGGCGCGAGAGGGCAAGGATCTCAACGATGAGGGTGGCTGGAGAATTGAGTTCCATGATGATAGGTAACACCCCTCCCTTTTGTCTTGGTTTGAGATACTGACTCGTATAGTATTCACGGCCATGACAAGTCCCTCGAGATCCGAAAATACTCTTCCCTTCCCAACCGACCTACCATGTTTTACGCCGGCGATGGTGTTTCAGACCTTTCCGCTGCCAAGGAGACCGATCTGCTCTTCGCCAAGGCTGACATGGGTACGTACTGCTCATGACTCTGACAGCCACCCTTTGAGTTTGAGACTACACCACTAACATGTTCATAGACCTCGTTACCTGGTGCGAGAACGAGAACGTCCCCTTTGTCACCTTCCGCGACTGGTCCAGCATCACCCAGACCGTCAAGGAGATTGTCGCTGGCGATCTGTCCGTCAAGGACGCTGCCCGTGGCCGCATCTAATTCGTCTACCTACCTATTTTGGAAATAAGAACAGGAAAGGAAAGTGTCTATGCTTGATCAAAAGACTCATAGAATTGAACAGTAGATGCGAGCCATCTACCACGAAACGTTATAGATTTCTCATAGACTTTTTGCATATAAATAACTACCGATGTATCTAGATATAAACGCCCGCTTTTGGTAACAACTTGGTACTTTTCAACATTGCACGTTTGATCAGATATAGCCATTCTTCCGTCTTGACTTTCCTCATCCCGTATTATTCCATCTTTACACAATCTTTTTCGCTATTAGCAGCTCACTCATCCCTCTTTTCCTCGTCTGGTAGGAAATACCAGCAAAGGAGCATGACTAGAAAGAGGAAAATCACAATAGGATGAAGCACAAATGTACCCGCGGCCTGCGCCAAAAGACCAGTGATGAAAGGCGCAACAGCACCTCCTGCGCTGCCACATGCACTAATAGTGCCGATACCGCTCAGGACCTCGCGCCGGTTCATTCTTCGCATAAAGACGGCAGCTCCGCAAGGGTAGATGGGTCCCAGCAGCAGACCGACAATGGACACGGCGACGGCGTTCCCCACGATGTTGGGTACGAACCAGACGAGGATCTGGAAAGCCAGGGCACCGATTGTCAGACCGTAGACAAAGGGTTTCTCCCCGATGCGGTGAGCAGGACCCGAAAGGAAGAATCGACCGAGAGTGATGCCCGCCCAGAATCCAGCCGTCACATATCCCACCGATGAAGGGTCTCCGTCGCGGGCGTTGATGAGGAACGAGATGACCCAACCCGAGATGGACACTTCGGCGCCCTGGTAGGCAAAAATGAAGATGGAGCCGAGAAGTACGACCCGCAGCTTCATAGCCATGAACATGCTATTCATCATAGACTCCCCAGCCTGGGCCGTCTCCCTCGCCCTCACCGCCGGACTCATCTCCTTCTCGTAGTTCCAGAAAGACCACATGGCCAGCGAAAAGGTACACACGCCAATAGCGCAGGTAAGTATGTAGTAGCGCGTCCAGAGAGCATTGGCGGCCGTGACGAGTGCGGTGGCGATGAGGGGACCGACGGTGCCTCCTATGCCATAGGTCCCATGCAGAAGACCCAACATGAATGTACCGTTGCGTAGGCCACCACAGAAGAGGTTTCCTATGCCCACATTCACCGAGATGCTGAACCCGACGAAGAAGAACGAGCAAACAATAATGGGGAAGGGCGCTCCACAGATGAGTGGGATGTAGGATAGAGTGACCATGGCTTGACCAAGGCCTAGGAGTTTGGCACGGCCGAGTTTCGCTCGTAGGGCGTCTAGGAACACGGCTGCCATGATGAAGCCGATGGCCTGGCCGACGAAGATTAGGGAGACGATACCATATCCGATGTTATAGTACCTTGACGATTGTCAGCCAGAGCTACGAATAGGGGCATACAGCCAGCTTACTTTTCCATGTACGGGATCAAAGCACCAGCAGCACTGTCACTGAGGGCATTGCCCAAGTTGGCGAGACAAACGGCAAAGAGTCTGAAGCGATTCATAAAGGGTTGCCAGGCACTAGGCATCACCTCGACAGCCTCAGGGCTGGAGGGCCTGCTCATCTCGAGATCATTTTCAGCTCGGGGAGTGGTGGTTCCTGACTGGTGACCATCGCGGACGGAGATTCGATGAAGGTCAAAAGACTCGCTGTGAGGAGCTCCTGGATACGTCCTAGGGACTGTCCTGGCTGGGGTCGTCAAGGGACGGTAGAGCTCCTCGGTCGGGGACTCGGCCGAGATGGACTGGACCGCAACTAGGCCGGTGAGCATCGAGGCATCCATTGCAAGGGGCAATCAAGCCGATTGAAGGAGTTGGCGACAGGACTATTGGCTTAAGTGGTTCAACGAAAACAAGATGGACGACAAAGGTCAGTATGGGCAGCAACTCGGCCAGTATCCGTAGATATACCCATTTCCCATGAAGCTCCCCTGAGTATCTCGTGAGTCCAGGCCACGACAAGATCTGTAATCAAGCCCATATCAGGGTCACCTGGACAAGCCAGACTTTTCGCTCCCCGCACATGGAATGACTACATCTGGCAGATCCATAACGAAGCCCCTGGCGTGCGCCTGCGAAGTGAGAGCTCGACAAGCAAATGCTTCCAGAACGGAGACAGGAATCCACATCGAGGGCTCACATGAACCGGACCCATGCGAGGTTAGAATATGGGTCCTATCACACCAGCCGGACCTGTAGCGTCCGCTGCCGAATAATTTAAACGGGGTGTACCATGTTGAGCCGCCTCCGGGCCGTGTCCTCACCGTGCTCGGTGAAGATGATGGAGACGCCACGGATAACTCAATTGGCCATGAGGGAAGCAAGAGTTGCCTGCTGACAAAAATTACCACCCCCCCTTCTGATCTGTGATTCAACCCTGGGTTGTGAATCTGATACGTAACACAGCTGCGGCTCGGGGCACGACCGAGATCACACCTCGGTGGAGAGTGAACATAACATGGCTTGTGGTGCCTCCGAGATAAGAGCGGATAGTAACCGAGTCTCGTCCACTCATCTTTGAGTATACAAAAAGAAACGATAGGATACCCAACATGGTTGACGATGTCGTCTCTTCGTGACCAGTCCGGTGTATCCAGATGGGGGAATTCCGCGATAGGCCCAAGCTTAGATACAAGGATATTCTAGCGTGATTCGAGGGTATCAAGGTGTATCCGTCTATCGGTGTCTGCCCCTCCACCCCTCCAGTCTATCAAGAAAAAATTACATTTTCTACCAGGGACGATAATATCAATCACCAATCGTATAACACCATGGGTCGTCCTAAGCGCAATGTCCTCGCGGCTGCCGAGGAGTCAATGACACCTCCAGACGTCCTCGGACCTGGTCAGTCCATAGTTAGAGTTGTTAAGCCTGAAGGCAACAACCTTTACACCTGCGAGCTCCCAGACACAAAGCCCCTCATTCTGGAGCTGGCACAGCGCTTCCGCAACACCATCTGGATCAAGCGCGGCGGTTTCGTCCTAGCGGAGCGATATCAGGAAAGCAGGGAGGATACTCGGGCTATGGGCGAGATTGTCAATGTTGTTCGCGACGAGAAGCTCTGGCGCAAGCAGGCTTATTGGTGAGGATTGTTAAACCGCAGCGTCGACGAGGACGAGACTGATCAAGCTTGCACAGGCCAAAGGAATTCGCCAAGAATGCATACGATTTGAACGACTCCGAAGACGAATCCAACGTTGGCAAGATGCCCCCTAGCGACTCCGAAGAAGAGTGACCTGTGCCACATATCTATCTCTATTTATTCTTTGCCTCGACATCCTTGACTTCTGGCGCCGAGTCGTTCGTCCCGAAATACACCAACACGACGGTCGCAAACAGCACGCTCACAACATCAATAGAGCTGACGACGGTGCTGGGAAAGACGTTCCAAGCCCACTCCTGCGCGAGCCAGAGAGGCACCACAATGAGGGGACTGCGCGTGGCTCGCCAGAGGAGGTACGGCGACGCCCATGCAAGATAGGCATAGAATTGGTAGTGGAGGGACCTCGCAAACAGCAAGCCGATGACATTGGCCGAGAGCATCGTCGTCATGACGTACTGCGGGGTGACAGAGTTGGAAATGCGAAGCTCCTCGTGCTGAGTAAAGGGGGACTTGGCCCGGAGGAAGGACGGGATCAGAGCCGACAGAGGTCGGCCAGCAGGCTTGATCCATCTGTTTGCGATAAAGACCAAGAGCACCGTAGCGTGGAGGAAGAGGAGGAGCAGAGCAAGAGACTTGCTGAGGAACAGCTCCTCGCCCAACATGCGCCAGTTGACCGTCCACTCAAACTTGAACTGCCGTGACAGCTCAAACGCCCTCGCCGCGTACCCGCGCGGGTTCTTGGCGATGAAGGGCACCGCGATGGCGAACTGGACCTGGGCCATGAGCCACGCGAGGCGCAGGCTGGCCCTGAAGCCCCGGCCCAGGAAGAGGATGACGCCCAACGCCGGGAGAACTAGGAGGAGAGACATCTTGATGCCTAGGCCCCAGGTGTAGGCGAGGCTGCCAAAGGTCCAGTAGCGGCGCTGTAGGAAGTAGATTGCTAGCCAGAGGAAGAAGACGGCGAAGCAGTCGTTGAAACATCGTAGGACAAAGATGCTGTGTAGTCGCTTGGAGAGGATCAGGAGTGGGAAAATGTACGGGGGTGCCTGAATCCAGTTAGCTGAGCTCGTTCTCAACTCTCGATCAATTGCCCACCTTGGCTTTCCAGTAGCAGAGCATGACCAGCGCCAGCGTTGCCATGTACAAGACTCCAAAGATCTGCTGCGCCAGGAAAATATTCTTGCCCTCGTCCGTGATGTAGTATAGCGCCGTATAAGTGTAGACGTGGGCAGCCGGGTAGACGAGGGGACCGGTGCCACCCTCCATCTTGGTATAATCTCGTTCGCCCGACACGAATTGCGATACCTGCTCCATATACGCCACCCAATCGATCTCGGTATCTATTCAAGTCCATGTCAGCTTCGGGGTCTTTGACGTTCGAGGTAGCGCAGCTCACAAGGGATCTTCCAGATGATCAGGCCGCATAGGACCGCGTCGGCGAGCCATAGCGCGACGGGTATAAACTTGGAGAGGACATGTCGACCGTTTGCGACATCTAGCACGAAGCGCGTGGCTTGAGTGAGGATGCCAGGCGCGGGCTCTGGCATGGTGTCGGTTGTGGGCATCGCTGGCCTCTAGAGGTTGAGCTTCAACATCACGGCCAGGGGTTGAGATGGAGCTTGGAGCTCGCCCCGCAATATGCATAACCCCAGGCTCCTTCTGCTCGTGTCACCATTGAGATCAACGACAATAGCAAGTTCAATATCAAGTTTGAGGACAAATACGGTATTTCCAATATCCAATTACTATTACTCATTCAGGCCTTTTAAAACTACAGCTTAGACTTGGCCGCCTTGCCGACCTTGTCAACCAACTGCACCACATTCTCAGCACAACCATACGAGCCCTGATAACCCCATCCAGAGTGTCCGTAGTTGTGCACGATCCAAGTCTCATCATCCAGCTTCTCCTCCTCGATCCTGACTCCGTCCTTTCGCCACGGCCGCATGCCGACGGCGTGTCGGATCACGCTCAGACCCTTGACGCCCTTGCCGTTGGCAATCTCGGGCCGCACCTCGACGATGCGCTGCATGATGCGAGCCGCGATGTTGGGGTCTGGCTGGGACTCCCAGTTGCCAACGTCGTAGGTACCGCCCAGGATGGTGCCGCCGCCAGCTGCTCGCTGCATCAGGTACATGACATCGGCACCGCCATCTTCGACACCTGAAGTGAGGAGCATGGGGCTGCTCTCGTTGCGCACAACCACAATCTGTCCACGCGCAGGCGCCATTGTCTTGTCCTCGACACCGCCCAGCTTGTAGGAGCCAAGACCGGTGGCGTTGACGATGATGTTGGGCGTCTTGCCCGTGTGGCTCAGCTTCTTGGCCTCGCTGATATCGCTGAGGATGGCACGCTTGACGATGACGCCGTTCTTGATGCACTGGCCAAGAAGCCAGGGGAGGTAGATGGCCGTGTTGATGCACACCGACGTGAACTCGCAACCGGAGTCGTAGCCGGGGATGACCTCGCTAGGGTGCTGCTCACGAAAGTCCTCAAACATGTTCTTGAACCAGGGGTCTTTTGAGAAGAGAGCGTCTGGGAAACCAGACCGCTGTGCCTTTTCAGTGTCCACGTTGCGCCTCTGAATGCGCGACTCTTCACAAGTACAATGTTAGTCAGTCTTCCACTTCAGTAAAGAAGGGGACATACTCTGGAAATGAACACCGGCCTCAGGGACCTCCTCGACCAGACGCTTAAACTCATACCAAGTGCGACGCTCCCACTCACTGCTCTCTGCTGTCGCCATACTTGAAACTTGTAAGTGAAATGCATGCTACTCAAGTCTGTATGAACTTACGGGGAGTGGTTGGCACCAGCGAAAGGCGAGGCGTATTCAACGTCATAGTCGCCGGGCATGTGCTTGGCCACAACGGTGATCTTGTTGCCCTTGTTTTTGGAGAGCAGCAAGGCCGACGTCAAGCCAATGACACCGGCACTTCCTCATGTTAGCATCCAGCCTCATGATGAGCAGGTTATCTCAAACTCACCCAACGACGACGATTGTGTTGGACATGTTGACAGGTTCTTTTCGCTAAATTCAAGTCGCTAACGAGGCAATTCGAAAAGGGCTGAGAGTTGAAACTGAAGGGAATATGAGAGACCAAGAATTACCCACAAGGTTCCGTTCAAAGATACCTTATAGACCGACTGGGCTCGGCTCTCAGTTGAAGCCCCGATCGTCGAGCCGGTCCAATTCACCCCGCTGATTGGCCCACCCCCCGATAAGCCGGTTCGAGGACCGGCACCCGAGGGCGACCGATCTCGGTACCGGCGTGGCCCAGCCACGCCGACTGAAAGAAGCAAGCAAGTTGTCGAACGAGTGAATCCTCATGCAACATGATAAGCCTTGTTTGACATGTCTTGTCGTTGAAGGAGGGTTGTCTATCCAATGATACACCTTGTATTTGGTTGCTGTCATAATTGTCGGAGGCTCAAGGCGTGGTTGACACTCGCCGAATTGACGCTACGGCTTTCCACCTCCGATGACACCATCTCTGAAAGTAGAAGGCCGGATGAGAGCACGACATGCATCGTTTATTCGCCGTTGCAATGCGGGTGAAGCCGAATACATGGCAACACTCAAGTACCGAGATAGATAGGCATCTCGATTATTCAACATGCCATCATATGATTATGCAAAACCAGTACATCTTTTTATCCAGCTTATCAATGTCTAATATACACTGCCTTTTCCCACGGATCTTGACAACTGGTAACCAATACACAAAGAGCCTCATGCTATGCTTAAGCATGCTTCCTCACCAATTGCTCGAGCACCGGAGGATTAGCACCAACCAGCTCGTCAACATTCTTTCCATCCTTGAAGACGAAAAAGGTGGGCATGGCGCGGACACCGAGCGCAGCCGCCAGATCAGGCAGCTCATCAACGTCAAACTTGACAAACTCGACGCTCTGAAGGTCGGGTTGATCAGACAGTCTGCTGAAGCGTTAGGAATGATGAGTAATTCTTTGAGGCTGGATCCATACTTGGAGAGGATGGGAGAGATGGCCTTGCAAGGACCGCACCAGGTAGCGAAGCAGTCGACGAGGACAGCCTTGTCTGTCGTCGAGACGAGTTCCTTGAACTCGGCAGTACTAAACATCTCAACATTAGATGGAAAAAAAAATACAGATTTCTTACTCCCGTGCTCACTCACGTCTTGATATCCCGAACTGCGAGTCTGGCAGCCGAGCTGTGGAAAGGTCTAGAAGCGAAGGCGACGGCCCTGGGCTTAGCAGCCTGGGAGATGATGGGTCGCAAAAGACGGGATGGAGAGGCCATTTTGAATACTTGCGTTGCAGGGAATCGCAGGTGTGATGCAAGGTAGATTCAGATGTTGATGGACAGAAAACATCTGAATTTCCAATCACCGAGCTCTGGCTCTTGCCGCCCGGAAGTGGAGCCGGCGATCAAATGCAATTGGCGAATCAGGTCAAGTAGGAGATAGTTCACGCATATCTCCTTGCTTGCGCGAGGGCTGCCAGAGCGTATTAACCTCTACTATTAAAGCACTATCTAAGCCTTTGTAGAATTTATACAATAAGTTGTTAATCTTTTATCTATATTTTAGTGAGTCTAAGAAGAATCTAATCATAATTGGTCTAGATCCCAGCTCGGTATGCGATGGCAGTCCCAGCGCAAGCAAGGAGATTCCACCAGACGGACGGATACACTGCCAAGGAGCATGTATATCCTTTATTCATATCAAATCAATGTTCAGGTTGCGACGGCTTCTAATAGAATTGACATGCTCTTTCTGATCAATCTTCATCTAGGACTAGTCAGGCTGCATCTCACTGCCTATAGCCATGTCATGAACTCCAACTGCGAATACACATCCACGGACACCTCCAACATCAAAAAAGATATTGTTCAAGCTGGTTAATTAACCTATCAGATACAAGCATTTACACCTTCACTCCTCTGGGCAAAAAAGTACACGTCGATATCCGACTTTCCTACTCCTACTCTTCTCAGTGTTCCGCCCCTTCAAGCACAATGATATCTATGGTTCATGGAATCAACCGCTTTCACGCCAAGCTCAGTACCGGGCTCCAAGTTTATTCCTCTGGCCTCCCAAGTGCAAAAGCAAAGAAGTCCCAAAAATGTTCAAATCAATCAATCAATCCCTTTTCCCTAACCGCCAAAAAAACCCCGGCTAACCGAAAACAAAACAATCTCCCCATTCTATTACGAGGAGAATGACACCGAGCTCCCAAAGAGCGACAGCACCTCAAAGTAGGCGCGAATGGGCTCGGTTGAAAAAAAAGCTAGGCTCCCCTGCCAATATGCGGTGAATCAAGCACGTCGAGTCTCAAAATAGTCCATAACGGGCGGTCGACGCGGGGTATCAAAAGATGCGGTATATGTAGTCGAGAAAAGAAAATCCGGGTAGCAAACTTGAAGAGCGCCGTCATCAAGGTCGTAGTCATACATCAAGAGCAGGTTTCTGGGCCTGTAGTCCCAGCCGCTAGAGAGTTGTGAAACTGAAGTTGTCGCCGTCCAGAAAAAGAGTCTCCGCCTGTTGTTGTTTTCCAAGTTTTTTTGTACCTTTCTCGTTTTTATAGTAAGGAAAATGTGTAATGAGCGACTTCGGTCAGTGCTGACGTTAAGAAAAGGTAAAGAGCGTGGTTTTCGTTTCGTTGGCGAGATAGTGGGAGACTCTTCGTCTGGAGCGGCTTAGTATCAGTTCTCTCTTCACATAGCAGGCAGAACGTGGCTTCGTCGCCTCTCCGAGCTTCTCCTGGCATCCACGGAGGGGCGAGGAGTAATATCGAGCAGCTTAGCGCTACCAGCGCTGAAGTTGCGAACGTGACCCTTACCCAGACTCACGCTCTTAGCGCGCTGGATGTCGGCATCCTCCTGCGATGAAGGCGAGATCGGGGATGCCTGGCTGTCCTCATCCTCGGACTCCATTTCCAAAAGGCCCTCGTGGCTCTTCATGGTATATCGGTGCACAACCTCGGGCTGAGAACCGACGCGACCCCACTTCATGTCGGCGTCGTCAACAAGGTCCTCCTCGTCGCTGCTAGGGCGTCCTTCGCCAGAACGGCGGCCCATCAAGTCCTGTCCAGAGTTTCGTCGGGGGGTAAGCTTGGTCAGGTACTCGTCCTCGACAATCTCAAGATCCTCCTCGGTACTGTTGGTGGGAGAATCAGTCGTGTCGACATGCTCACGCTGGTTAGCACGTCGAATGCTGTCTCGCATAGCGGCTCTTCGGGCACTAGGGTTGCCAGACAACCAGGAACCTTCAGAGTCAATCGAGGCCAAAGACATCGACATTCCAGCCTCCGGGGATGGCGAGACATATGCTCGCTCCATTGTGGAGGGGGTAGTGCGGCGGACGGCATCGACAGATCGATGGCCTGATGTGGGCGTATCATAACGCACACCCAAAGATCGCAGCTGTTCCATCTCGTGGATCTTTTGCTCGGTAAGCACGGGCATCGGAGGCTCAGCCTCTGGGGACTGCACGCGTGAGGCTGGCGGTGAGAGCGGCAACTCGGGAAGGTCTTCCCGGAAGCGGGATCGAGTCCGCTTGGGAGCACCAGCGCTGGGTTTGCGCGAGATGTAGTTGCCCGTGTTAGTGCGCGAGGCATTAGGCGAATCTTCGCCCTCGAGCCTGGCAAGTGCATGCGCCTGCGCTTGTGCCCTTGCCTGAGCCGCCGCTGCGGCGGCTTGCATCTCTTCTCGAGATGTGTTGGAGAAGGATGATGGTCCTGAGTGTCTCTGTCGCTTGCTGCCCAGCCGCAAGAATGCCTTGATAGAGAAATGGCCGGCCCTGCTACCGTCAGAGTCGTGTGTGTCATGACGTAGCACATCCTCCTCGTTGATCGTCTCAGGTGGAGGAGAAACCATCTTATCTCGGTCTGAACGAAGGGTCGACCTAGACCGTGATTTCACCGATCTCAAGATGCCAGACAGTCGTCGTGATCCCGGGGAGATGCGTCCTGTGTCTGTAGACGTCCGCATCATGGAAGATGTGTCTTTCGTAGCAACCTCTTCCATCGGCGTCGGTTGCTCGGAGGTGACCGTATCTGTGCGGTGGAACGACTCCTCGGTCTTCTTGGGAGACTCGACCACTTCTTCAGCATCAGCAGTAAGATCCATGGGTTCCGGTTCTTCAGAGACATCTGGCTTGGAGACAATGACAGCCGAGGCGGGCTCTATACCCAACCCTGCAAGTTCACGGCCCATCACTCCTCTCTCAAGATTTTCTGGCGGCGGAGTGCCAGACTTCTTGGCCTCAATTTCCTCCGCCTTTTGTTTCTCGGCTCTTTGGGCCAATCGACGCTCCATCTTTTGCCTTTCCTTCTGTTTCTTCTTCTCCCGTCGTCGGTTATCCCTCTCCATGAGCTCTCTGAGGTCGTGGGCATCGAGATCGTCGGCGAGAGAATCGATACGTTTGTGCGCCCTCATTGTTTCCTCTGGAATTGGCTCCTGGTCTAGGAGCTTCCTCCGCTGTGAGCCTGACCGGTGAGGAGCAGGCAAGTGTGGTGTTGTCCATCGTGAATTGGGCGTGTATCGAAGCGTCGGTCGTGGGGCGAGGGCAGCAAGTGCCGACACCTTATATGAGCCAAATTCAGAGTCGGAAGACAGGCTCGAATGAATCGATCCTGGGACTGGGAGAGAAACATCCGACGTCCGACTGGGCCGATGCCTTCCAATCCCACCAGTCTTGGATCTCTTGGAATCCTTCTTCATCGGCCGGCCTGAAGTCCATTGATCCGTGGCAGGCCGTACTGGCACGAAATTGCTCATTGCCTTGATCTCAGCCTCCCTATTCCGTTCTTCTCTCCTCCTCTTACTTGTTTTCCTCCTTCCTGGTTGTTCAGTTGGTCGGAGCGTGGGAGTGCGGTCCCACGCCCCAATGTCCTCATCGCGATTCCCGGTGGTCCTCGATCGACCGGGACGATGACGGGCGGGAGAGCGGTCATCACGATCCCGGTCGACTCGAATATCATCCTGGCGTCCCGGTGAGAAGCTATAAGTACGCGTTGCTCGTTGTAGACGGGCAGGCTCGGTACGTCGTTTCTTCAAACCAGCCTTGACTCCCTCATTTGTAGGCGGCGGCGCACCCTCTGCATCAGAGAGAGCCGCGCCGCTGCGGGAGCGCTTGCGGCTGCTCCGGCGCCGGAATGGCCACAGGGCCATGGCTCCGAGTACGTCACCAGAGACGGAAGCTAGTTGCGAGCAGCCAGTATCGTCGCCGATGTACAGTCGAAGTTGTCGAGATTATGTGCGGCGTGCGAGAGCATCGTGGAGTCGTCGAAGCGGTCGGACCAAGCTGGTCATCGGGAGAGACGAGGGAGAGCTGCAGGGTCGTGTCAAGCGGCTCACTGCGCTGGCGACTAACCAAGGAGTCCCCGGGGGTCTAGGTCGGCCGTATCGACAGTCGCGCGAGCGATTCCAGAGGAGCAAGTAGTTGGCTGACGGCTGTATCTGTATGTGCAGTGACAGTCGAGCAAGGCGGTGATTGTGGATATGTAAGGCGTGTGTAAGGTATGGGATGAATGCAAGCACGCGGGCGAGGACGTGGTCATGGACGTGGGCGAATGTTGCGTGGCGAGACGTGTGTGGTGGTAATTGTCGAGAAGCAGCAGGTGCTAGGTAATTAAGGTAGCAAGTGCAAGGTGCAAGGTGCAAGCAAGGTAGGTGCAGGCAGGCACACAAAGAAAAAGGGTAGGCGCGCGGGCTTCGGGGGGCGGGATTAAGACAATTTTTCAGCGCTGGGGACAGCAGGGAAGGGAAGGAATGGACCAAGCCAATGAGCAGGAAGCAACTTCCAAGTTGCAGCCAACGAGGGACTGCAGGTTGAGTGGGAAAGTCGACGTCAGGCTTGGGCTCAGCGGCGAGGTACCGTACCGGACAGGACAGGGAAGGGCGGGAGGTCCACTGCGCCCATGAATTGTGCTTAGGTTCTTCTTGGGCCCTGCAAGTGCTAAAGCGGGAGTTGGAGCTGTAAGTACTTTTTCTATGTCTTAGCGCAGTGAAAAGACACCAAGCCCCCAGATGCCCCCAGTCGACGTGAAGGGTCTTGTCACTGTGGACCGGGGCTCATTCGCAACGGGGCCCTCTTAATGGGAGTGGGGAGCAGGGAGACGTCCCCTGAAGTAGCGGTACCAAGACGAGCGACGGATGCACAGGCTGAGCAGGCGACATCCGGTACCGGTACTTGCCGGCGGGGACTTCCAGGGCTGGCTCGAGGGTGCGGGTACGCTGCCATTCGGTCTGGTGGCGTCCAACCCGCTGAAGCCGGGTGCTGAAGGGCCAGGAGGGGCCGCTGAGGGGGGTCGCCGCTGGCGCTGGCTGGGCGCTGGAGGTTTGGTGGCGGGGCGA